GTGCCCACCGAGCCGAGCGCTGGCCGGGTGCCCCGCGGGCTGAGGGGCCGGCCTTTGGGGCACCGCCACGAACTCCTGGGGCTGCCGGACTGCGAGTGCCCCGCCAGGTCCTCTGACAGGGAGTTCAGCTGCGTTTCCAGCTCCTGATTCTGGCTTAAACACTTTAAACAGATGCGTTCTAAGTATGTTTATTTTCTTTTGGAGTGTCAGCCTGGCGCTGAATCTGGAACCTGTGAGATGCCTTCTTAATTACGCCTCAGGAGAAGTGATTTATGTGTCACATTTGTAAGAGTCAAATTAGATTAATTAGGTCGTTCTGATAGGCGTAAAAATGAAGAAAAGCACAAAACAGAACATGTAGGCCGTTGAGGAGTCTCTGTCAAATGGCTGAGCAGCGTGTCAGCATTACTGTGAAATAAGACTTTTCCTTTTTTTTATTGAGAAAGGCATGCTTACAGGTTTTTCACCTGTTGCGTTAACATTTGATGTTCTTGCTTGGGCGTTCAGGAACATAGCTTGTTAGAAGGGCTCTGGGAAATTTTTAAAAAAACATTTGAGAGAAATTAAAATAGAAAAGTTTTAAAATGATATTTAGAATCATTTATGAAGACTGTTGTAGATTTATTAATTGCATTATGTAAACACCGGTTTTGATTTTTCAGAGGTTTTTTTTTAGTAAATTTGGTCAAGGAGTGTATTGGCCAAGCCTCACTACCTTTTCTTGTTCTTTATACATAGTGAATGATAATTAGAGAAATAAAATGATATAAAATGTAAACCAATTCATTTTTATGTGTACTATCTCTTAGAAGCCCCAGTAAAAGACTTTGGAAGGAGAGTTTTTAAAATAATGCTATATATGAGGTTCTGAGATTGTTTATTAAAGTCTGATCTTAAATTTTGCAGATAAGTTAATCAGTCAATTATTAGTCATTCTGTAGTATCCTTTCTGTACTACACGCTATTTAGAGAGGATTCTTTCAGTATTGTATTTGCCATATTATTAAATATTAGTGTTTATTATTTCAATTATGCATTAAATTTAATAGTTAAACTATAACTAATTTACTTAATCATATAGTTTATTATATAGTTATTTACTTGTTGAATGGGCATAAAGTAATTTTATTGAGCCCCTGAAAGTATGACTATTTTGCTTTTTGGTATTTCATTTTTCCTTACAAGAAGATGGTAGGTGTTTGAATTTTTGAGGCAAACAAACAAAACATAACACAACAGCAAGTCTAATGAATTAAGTAGCTTGTCCAAGACCACACATCAGTGAGTAACAAAACAAGAGCTCAAGCTTGAATCTTTTTAACCATTGTTACTGGTTTTTTTTTTTTTTTTTTTTAATGGAGATATATAAATAAAGAGAACACAGGGTTGGCGCTCCAGCTGGCAGTTTGGTAGGAGGTTTACAGAACAGTTTAGGCAGGATTAAAATTCAGGGTTGAGGTAAGTGGGTTAATGAAAATCTGGGAACAAAAAAAAGTACTTAACCTATCGCTCAAGGTGTTCAAAGACAAAGTACAGAAAGTGTCATTTGCATTTAGTGTTTTAAAGAAAAAAAGGTGAGGTGTTGGAGTGACAAAAAGGGGGCATCTGTCCAGAGACTCTGTGTGTGTGTGTGTGTGTGTGTGTGTGTGTGTGTATGTGTGTGTGTATGTAAAGACAAGCATGAATTTGGCATATTTGAGCAGTCTACAGGTAGTTACTCATAGCTGGAGAATAGAATGTGTGTGAAGTGTGTCCAGGGAAGGGAGTATAAAAGCAGGCAAGGGGTCATTTCATAAATTTCCTTGACCTTCAATGGTAGGGACTTCACATTTTTACATTGGGTAATTGGGAATTAGTAAGGAGTTTTAAACAACAAAATGACACCATCACTTTTATATTTTAGAAATTTACTCTACCGTGTAGAGGATAATTTATCTTTTAAAAAGGATGGGTGACAGAGGCATGGAAACAGTCTTTATTTTTTTGAGACAGGGCCTTGCTGTGCAGTTCAGGCTGGTCTTGAACTCATTATGTAACCTAGGTTGGCCTTGAACTCACAGGGATCCTCCTGCCTCAGCCTCCTGAGTGCTGGGATTACCGGTGTACCCACCATACCCAACTTGGAAACATTCTTAAAAGAAAAAGAAAGTCCTTCCAGAGTCTTCTGACTATCAAACCTACTGCCTCATGTCACTGCTTTTGTGGGTAAGGAGAAGATGATTGGAAGAGAGTTCTACAAGGAATCATCTGTGTGCTTTTGCAGGTCACACCATTCATTCATTCCTTAAATCTAATCCAGGTTGCCACCCCTCCGTAGACAACTTTGGCACCTGGGACTTCCTGACACAGATCTAGTGGACCCTCTTCAAAATTGCAGCAACTTTTGATAACACACAGTATAGGCCACTTCTTTCTTAAAATTCTTATTCCTTGTATTAAACTTCTCTGTCTCAGTTTTTCACCAGTTTTCCTGATTTCTTTTACTTTATTTTGTGGGCTCCCAGAATTCTGCCATTATGTTTTTGTTTTCCTGTAGCTGTCATACTTATAAATGATTCTATTCACCCTAGATCCTCCAGTTGGATTAATATATTCTGTGTGTGCCAAATATAATATTATATTTTTACTCCTATAATTTTTAAGAGCTTGTCATGCACTGTGCGAAGTATTTTACTTGCATGTTCTCATTTAATTTTTTTTTTTTCAGAAATCCTAGGTGTGATTTACTATTATTCTTATGTGAAAGATTAGGAGATTAAAGTTCATACAGATTAATCTGACAAGTAGAACTGAGGTTTGAGTCTAGGGATCTGATAATGAAGTTGATACTTGTACCTGCTTAGAATTCCTCAGATGCTAGCTTAACGTGACCCACACTAAGCTCCCTGACTGGTCCCATAAGAAGTACTTGTTATAATTATGACTTATTTTATTGATGCCTTTCAGTCTGAGATGCTGTTCTAAAATTATTGAACCTTTAACAACCCTTTGAGTAGGTGCTGTTGTGCTACTTTTACACAGGAAGAAATAAATTATCTAAAGTTACATAAAAGCTGTGGGAGACCAAGTCTAATATTTAGATTTTTAACTACTGTGCTGCATAAGATTACAACTAATGGCGTGACTGATCTACTTGTTCTAGTTTTAGAAACATTTGAATCATCCTTATGAACTTAAGGGGAATCTATTTTCCTACAAATGACTCAAGTTTATCCTTTTTTCTGGTAGAGTAGTACTCTATTGTATATAAATACCACATTTTTTACCTGTTCGTCTGTTGATAGACATATAGGCTATTTCCAAGATTTAGCTATTATGAATGATTTAGCTGTAAACATGGATATGTATACATCACTGTGCTATGTTGTCTAACTCTTGGGAAGATATCTAAAAGGGGAATAGCTGAGTAAAATGGAATTTCTACTTTAAGTTTTTTGAGGACGTTCCATACTGATTTCCATAGTGGTTGTATGAGTTTACAGTCTTATCAGCAATGGAAAAGGGTTCATTTCTCCCCATAGTCTCGTCAGTATATGTTATTGGGTGATTTCTTGGCTGTAGCCCTTTTTTTCTGGAGTGAGATGGACTCTCAGTGTTGTTTCAGTGGATCAGCGTTGTTGAACATTTTTTCATGTATTTATTGGCCATTTGTATTTCTTCATCTGAGAAGTATCTATTCATTCGGATGCCCATTTTTCAAATTGGGTCTTTAAAGTGGGGGGATCTTATTTTTTGAGTTCTTTACATTTACATGCTAGATAGTGGTCCTTTGTCTGAAGAGTAGTTGGCAGAAATTCTGTGTGCTGTCTCATCACTCTGTTAGTGATTTCCTTTGCTGTGCAGAAGCTTTTTAACTTGGTGGCTTCCCATTCATCAATTTCTATATTATTTCTTATGTAACTGAAGTTTTGTTCAGAAAGTCTTTGTCTATACCTGTGTCTTCAACAGTTTACCTATTTTGTCTTCCAACAGTTTATTTGTGTTGTAATGTTTAGATCTCTGACCCATTTTGATTTTAGTTTAATGCATGGTGAGAGATACGGTATAGGTTCAACCTTTGGCATGTGGATAGTCAGTTTTCCCAGCACCATTTTTTAAACTGGCTATCTTTCCTCCAGTGAAGGGATTTGGTCCCTTTGTCAAAAATAACTTAGCTGAATGTACCTGTAGCTGTTTCTGTGTTTTTTGTCCTTTCCATTTTTCATTGTTTTTGATTCTCCCTGTTTCTTCTTACTTTCCTTTCCAAAATGGCATATAAATTTTCTGCTCAAGAGAAAACAGGTTTTGCCCAATATAAGTAAGCCATGTAGTGCATTTCAACTGTTGTCCTACATACTGAATGACGAAACTACAATATAACTATTAAATTCCTGTTGCATTACAGTTTTTCTACTTATATGCTGTCAGGTTTCAGTCACTGTTGCTGTTACTGCACTTTATATCCTTTATCTTTTCTCATTTGATATGAAATGGAAAGTATATGACCAGGATTGACAGATCTACGTGTCCTAGAAAGAGGAAATACAGGCGTTTTACTCTGTGGGTTTAGTGGTGTGTATTTTGTACACTAGGTAGCTATTACATAAATTAACTACTATAATTAAGTGTATTTGTATAATCATTCTTTTCTCCTTAGCCTTTCTACTTAGACTTTTCTGCTAGAGAAACATGAATGTGAATCTCTAGGGAAATGAAGTATTAGTTAATATCTGAGCCAGCTCAAAAGATTTTTATATTTTCTCCCCTTTTTTGGTACAGTGTTCAGTTTTATTTATTCTAATTTTTATTTTAGTTTTGTTTTTCGTAGTTTTAGGAATTCAACCCAAGGCCTCATGCACAATAGACAGGCACTCTTACCACTGAGCTACATCTCCAGATCTTCATTTTATTCTTAAAAAATATACCAGTTGTAATCTAATGTGAAAATTAATGTGTTCATTTTAGGTACACATCTATATTTGAATAAAATTTGCAACTCAAGGATATGTGTATTGCATTTATCTATGATCTTGAGTACCTCTAGCATAGTACAGACCAAGGTATTTATTTGGAAAAACTGCCACAGATGCTTCTGCCAACCTTCTTTATTGTAACATAGTTTTTGGTGGATGTAGAAATATTTATATCTGTTATTTGTGAGTGTGCAATCCACAGTATATTTTACTAGTGTAATAATGTATGTTCTGGGAAAGAATCCTGAGGTGGAGTTTGGTTTCTTAAAAGCATGTTAAAATATTCATTAATGTATTATAACACTTCTTAAAAATTTGCTAACATAACAAGGTAGATATTTCATTTCTTTCTGAACTGTTTTTCAGATATATAATATTTTACTCAGATATGACCCAGTGTACTTAATCTGATATCAAGATCCTAACCTGATTTAAAGGTTCTCACTTTGTATTTGGGTAGAATTGGAATAGGAGAATAGTTTATAGCTTTATTGGTATAAATCTGATGAAGCACTAGATATAAACACTAGCATAATCTTGTTGGAGAAACTTTTAAAATTTTTACTTTGTAGTTCTGTATTTTAAAAAATTCTCTTTGTTTTCATAGGATCCCATTTGAGTCAGTGCTTTACCTTATTTCTCAATGTTCACCATAAAGTTCAGCAATGCCAACTGGTAAGACTTCTACAAAGTTTGTGTACAAAATTTGTATTTTATACATTTACTTTTAAGTTGGTTCACTTTAACAGGTTTATTTGTAATGAATAAAAACTAGCTAAGTATTACATTTAGAGATGCTAGTAAATATTTTAGGGTTGATTTCTGCTGCAGCTACTCATCTCTGTCATTAAGGCTTGAAAACAGCATAACAATTTTTAACTGAATGGGCATGTCTGGTTTCAACAGAATTTCACAAAAACAGGTGATTGGCCTGTAGGACATAGTTAGGCCACATCTGTATTCGTCATTTATTAATTTAAAACATTTATTGACTACCTCTTCTGTGCCAGACCTCATGCTAGTAGCTAGATAATGTAAATATAAACTATATAGTATAATGGGAGAAACAGACTATATAAATATATAACTAATTATATATATATATATATTCCAGTGGGACTGAGGGCTGTGAAGGAAAAGAACAGCCTACGAAGTGAGAAACAGGAAAATTTAGATGAAGGTATTAGGCAATGGTCCATTTTAGAGGCAGTACGTAATTAGGCATCTTAATGCCCATTTGGTGAAGCATTAGAGTAAGTATGTACCAGGTACAAGCAGCTTTATTCACATGGAAGGACTTGCTCTGTTGGGGGAGCTACAAGAAAAGCAGCACAGCTCGGATATAACTACCTAGGAGGATATTTGTCTTGATTTGAAGTGCTAATAGGTTAGGAAGTGCAGACCCTCCAGGACATGTAAAGGACTTGTTTTATCCTAACTGAAATGGAAAATCTTCAGAGTTTTTAAGCAGGGGAATGACATATGTTTTAAAGGAAAAATAACTTTTAATACTTGTTGAATTCTGACTTAAAGACTAATCAAGTGTCATTTTTCATGTAAACTGATCTTTACAGAGTTGTGATTTTACAAACAAGGAAAATGAAGTTAAGGAATATTAAGTGATTTGTCTAAGGGCATATAAATAACAGTGATAGATGCTACTGTGCATCAAATATGAAAAGTTAACTTAGCAAAGGAGACCTTCAGAGGGAGTAGCCAAAATATTAAAAAAAGATTCAGGTGAGAGTGATGTCACCAAAGCTAAAAGAAAAAGTATTTTAAGGCAGAGGGATTGTACTGTTGTTTGAATGTGGCTAGAGTTCTCATGCAGATATTTACAAGACAGTATCCTTATCATAATAATAATGCAGGTTTATTTTCTAAGAGAATTGCTTAGAAAAATAACATGAGTCTTTGTCTTGTAGTTGAGAGTGAAGCCAAAGTAAAAACCAAAGTTCGCTTTGAAGAATTATTTAAGACCCACAATGACCTAATACGTGAAAAGAAAAAACTGAAGAAAAAACTCAAAGAAAACATCTCAGTGAGTAATTGATCATTTGGTTTTGCAACATTAATGTCTACATACAGTCGTGAGTTTCATATTAAAATTCGGATTTGGAAATTGTTATGGTTGACACATGTCAACTTGAGGAGTCTAGAAGCTTAACTAAATAATTCAGCAGTTCTACATCCTGGGGTGAAAAGGACATCCCCTTCCTCCTCTACCCTGTTGTTTATTGTGTCAATTTGAGAAGTTTAGAAGGTTAACTATGTGACTCAGCAGGGAGCCAGGGTCCTTACTTTGTGTTCATCCTGAGCCTGTGCAAGAGGAGGGTACAGAGATGGTGTGGGCTTGGGCAGATAGCAGATATAAGGAAAAGAACAGCCTACTAAGTGAGAAATGGGAAAATTTAGATGAAGATATTAGGCAATGGTCCATTTTAGAGGCAGTACCTAATTAGGCATATTAATGCCCATTTGGTGAAGAGTTAGAGTAAGTATGTACCAGGTATAAGCAGCTTTATTCACATGGAAGGACTTGCTCTGCTGGGGGAGCTACAAGAAAGGCAGCACAGCTCGGAGATGGTGTGGGCTTGGACAGATAGCGGATATCACAATATAAGGGAGGAAAAGAGGCTTGCTTTCCTCCCTTTTTGCTCTTTCTGCTTTTGCTGTCTTGTGATGTGTTCAAGTGTTACCCTTGTGCCATGCCTCCCTGCCTTGGAGCCAGCTGATTGTAGACTGAAACCTCCACAAACTATAAGCTAAATAAACCTTTCCTTCCCTAATTTTGGGTGTTGGGTATTTTGTCTCAGGAATGAGAGGAAAAGTAACTAAGACAGATTTAAAAAGAGTAAATCTGTGTCCTGGTCAGTAACACATGGAAAGATGAAGTTTACATTAGCAGGATCATCACTATTGGAGTATGGAACTCTGTTTGGAGTGCTATCCTACAGGGACGTACACAGACTAGTGAAAGTGACTGTGATATGGGAGACAAATATGAGGTGTTTGTCCATGAGAAAAAAAATGGCTAAAATTGAAATAAAATAAATGATAAATAATGAGGACAAACAAGATATTTGGCCTACAAATAAATGGCTTTCTTGGGATTAAAAAAGGTCTATGAAAAGAGGAGTCCATAAGTGCATTTGAAGTAAAGTTTATGAGACGATAACTGTATGTAGAAACATTTTTTTTAATTTCAAAAAAAGAAATGTTACAAATAGCAAAACTATTTCAGACTTCTAACAACGTGAAATCCAAAAGATAATGAAGAAGTGTCTAGAGTAATGAGTGAACAATTGTGAACCAGAATTTAGCAGCTTCAGTAGTCATTTATGAGAGCAACAATAAACCTGTACATTCACAAGTGAACTATGCAAGATGCTTTAGTTGAAGATACAGTATAATTTTCAGACATGCATCAAAGATAAGAATTTAAGTATGGAATGTTTATAATGTGAAAATATTGTTCAGTGATCCTTAAAAATCAGTTTAATATATAGAAGTTTCTTGATTATTACATGTGTCAAAAATAGTTGCTAGAGATTTATATTAGATACATGTGCAGTTAGTCTTTGACTTAAGATGATATTATATCCTGATAAACCCATTTTAAATTGAAAATACGTTTAGGACAGCTAATATCCTGAACATGCTCGCTTAGTAACATAGTTCCTTGTGGAGTGCTGGTTACTTCCTGTTGTAATAGTGGAACTGACAGGGAGCTGCAGCTTTCTGCTTCTTCTGGGCATCTCGAGAGGGTGTAGTACCACATATTGCTAGCCTGGGGAAAGAATCAAATTCAAAATTCGAAGTAAAGGCCAAGCACATGTGGTAGCACTTGCCTATAATTGCATCACTCTGGGAAGTGAGGCAGGAGGATTGCAAATTTGAGCCCAGCCCGGGCAACTTAGTAACTAACAAGACCCTGTTTCAAAAAATAGAAAGAGAGGTGGGGCTGTAGTTGAGTTTGAAGGCCCTGAATTCAATCTCCAGTACCAGGAAAAAAACAAGTACTATTTCTACTTTGTATGATCATAAAGTCAAAAACTCATAAGACAAGGACTTTTAGGCGTGGTGGCACACTCCTGTAATCCCAGCATTTGGGAGGCTGAGGCAGAAGAATCACAGAGAGGTCAAGGCTAGCCGGGGCTACATAGTGAGTTCAGGACCAACCTGAAACATATAGTAATATATACCCTGTCTCAAAAATAATACAGAAATAAAACATAAGTACTACTTATGTATAATAACATACAGATTTTCAGTGATTGAACAAATGAACCTAGTTCATATAGACAGAAAAAGTCATATAACTATTACTCTTAAATAGACTGTAGTTATTCATTCTAGAATCTGAAATAGCTTTCATAAGTGGTTTATAAAGTAAATTAATACCCTTTTAAATCATCAGAGATAAGGAATAATCACATGAGATTTTTTTTAAAGAAAAGAAGTAATAAGAGCAAACTCTTAGTCATGACAATAAATTTAAATGGCTAGAGCTTCCACAGGAAAGGAGGACATGAAGGAAGCGATTAAGACAGACAGACAGACAGACCAGAGCTGTACTTGGTGCACACACAGTCTGTACTGCTGGTCCCAGAACTCCAAAGTTGGTGAACTGCCACAGATGTGGGTATCTGGATCCAGAGTTGGTACTGGGGCCAACCATGCCTGGGGCCACCCCAGCTGCACATCAGCCAGGCACCTGCCAACTGCATTCCTCCAGCCAGTCTTGAGGAGTTGCATGCCATTTCTACTTTAAGCAGTAATGTGCTGTAAAAGGGAAACATTAAAGGCCATTTTATGACAAAAAAGCACATACTAAAATAGATTTTTAAAATAGGAGAATCACATATCAAATAAATTGACCATAAAGTTTAAAAATACAAGTGCAAAAATATAGATGAAGTACATTCTAGAAACTTAGAGTTGTCTCATTTATGAATATATATTGAAAGAACAAAAGCCCTAAGTAATACATGATTGAAATTAACTGTGTTAGAAGAATGATCCAACTCAGCCAAATAGTCCCCACCCAAGAACTCCAGAATAGCTTATTAACTGGATATTGGCCAGTATTAACAAATTAGTACAGATAAATTGAATGAAAACCATATGAATATATAAAAATATTTTAAAACATTTTAATTGAAAACAAGATGCTAGTGATTTCTAATATTTAGATATTCATGTATATGAAAATTATACCCCCTCTAAGGCTCAGGTAAAATGAAAATCCACACATATACATGGTGTACTGTGTAAAACTACAGTAGTTTTCCATGGCTCCCTTCAAGGAGGGAAAATAATCCACAGATGACCTGTAAGAATCTAACCTATAGGCTCTTCCTTTAAAATCAGGACCCATAGGAAAAATCTCTTTTCATAATATGTATTTAATATACTTGATGTTTTAGTAATATGATAGGATATAAAACATAGATAGTCATGTGTTAGCCTTTATTTCAACTGATATTTGTCTATACTACATGCCAGGAATCATACTAAGTCTTTTTCATGTATCAACTAATTTTCATAAGCCTTATAAAATCAAAACATTAGAGAACTAAGGCAGAAATGTAAAGAACTTAGTGGGGAACATATAATAAATATTAGTGAATCCAGGTCCTTTTGATTGCACTGCTTGTTTTTATGACAACTGTGCTATACTGCCTCCCTGTGGGCAAATACTGTGTGATTCTGAAGATGACAGATTATCATTATTGGTAGTCTGAATGTTAATATTATTAGAAGTCTTAGGTGAATTGAATGTACAAATTGATAAAAACCAACAATATAAAAATCTGTTATAGCTAGAAAAAGTGTTAGAAAATATTGGAAGAAAAAGTACACGTAACAGGCAAATATCACATAAATAGAAATTATAAAAACTTTTGAGAGGGTTGAATAAAATTTCCAGAGACACAAATTTAGTTTGAAATTTGTTAGTAAATATTACAGAAGACTTGTAATTTATACATACTGGTATTTTATTTATTTTTATTTTGTATGGTGCTGAAGATAAAACCCAGGGCCTTGTACCTGCTAGGCAAGTACTTTATCACCGAGCTCTATCCTGAGCCCCATGTCAATTTTTTGGTTTTTTTGGAGATTAATATTTAGATATAACCATAATATGATCTCTGGTCACTTTTTATCGTTTTAAATTGTATTTTGAGGCAGGATTTCATGAGTTTGCTCAGGCTGGTTGTGATCTTGCAATCCTCCTTCCTCCATCTCCTGAGTAGCTGGTATTGCAGGTGTGTGCCACTGTGCCCGTACTGAACTTTTGTTTTTCAAAGAGGGAAGTTTCGTCAACTTAGCTCATTATTGTATGTACTATTATTAACTTGATTTTATTCTTTTTTTTCTTTCTCATTTTATTATACTGTTATTTCTTAAAGATAATGTCTTTTTTATCTCATGAATTACATTTCTAAAACTTTTAGTAGTTTATACACAATTTTGAACAGTGGAAAATCTCTAAGGTTTTCTAGGTATTACTCTATCCATATATTAATTCATCTTTATAAATATTGAACTTGTAAATAAATTCACCTTTTTAAATACTTAAATAATTTGTAAGTGTGAAATCATATTAGCTCTCTCAAAGACAAATTAAAACCCTATTCTTCTCAGGGAGTAACTAAATAAAGAAAACTGAGAGGGCTGGGGATTTAGCTCAGCGGCAAAAGCGCCTGCCTGGCACGCGCAAGGCCGTGAGTTAGGTTCCCAGTACCGGAGAAAAACCAAAAAACAAACAAACAAAAAAAAAAAATTAAAAAAAAAAAAACAAAAAAGAAAACTGGAAATGGATCATACTGGTCAAAGTAATTTAACTGTGTCCCTATAGTACAACTCAGTAATACTGAATGGCATCCCAACATAATCCAGCAGCCAGCAATATAAAATTCATAATGTCTGATAGCAAGTGAAATACTACAAGGAATTTTTTTAAAAGATGGTATGACCTAGAACCAAACTATAAGTCAGTCAATGTAACTAGGCTTTAGGCAAGGCATAGAAGAGATAAAAAGATACAAAAGACGCAGAGATTTAAAAAGTACAGTAACTGAAATTAAGGCTTCATGGAATTAATATATTACAGACTACAATCAGCACTGGCTGTAGTGGTGCACACCTGTAGTCCCAGCACTCAGGAGGCTGAACCAGGAGGATTGTTGTGAGTGTGAGCGAAGTTGACCTGAGTCCACAAAGTTGACCTGAGTTTTGTAGAACATTGTACTCAATAGTAACTGTATTCTAAGGTACCTGGAATATTTTCTAAGACAGATAACCATTCTAGGACGTAAAACAAATCCAGATGTCCTTATTTTAATAACCTAAATGATACACAGAAGTTAAAACAATGAGCAAGATAATAGGAACATGAGCAAATGTATTTGGGTCATTTCAAATTCAGTCATCTAATGCCTGAAACTTAAATTTCACAAAGCAAAGTCTTTTTATAGCTGCAGTACAAAAGAACTAGAAGTTAACAGCAGAAGCTATAAGATACTTAGAAGTTATCTCATAAAGTTGCTAGAGGAAAAAATCAAAATCACAAAACAGTTAAAAAGTAATGAAAATATCAGCATAATCCTATGACGTGTGAATTGTTATCAGAGATCCTCTGGGAATTGTGTTTATTGCAATATTTATGCAAGAAAGAACTAAACAAAGAAAGACAAAATAATAACAAATACAGTTGTGGGGTTGTAGCTCAGTGTAGAGCCCTTGCCTAGCCTGTGTTTGATCCTTAGCTATTAATAAATACATATTATTAGTACAAAGGTGAGTTGATCAGTAGAGCTGAGTAAGTAAAAGCTGAACCTCATCTGATTAACTTTCCCAAATTTTCATTTTTAAAATCACCTTCCTATTTCTTGGTTATCTGTTTTTCCAACTATTTCTAAATGAGTGTCCTCACAGTTTGTATGCATTAGCTCTACATTTCTGACATTTACTGAAAAAATAGAAAATTTTGTATGCCCCATTTTAACATAATGGAAATTCAAGGTTACTGAGGTATGATTATATTCATAAAAGAAAAAAGAAGTTTCTGAAAAGATTAGCAATGTTTCTCTTTCTAGGAAACAACCAGAGTTGAGTTTTGAATCTGCTTTTTGTTTTTGGTACTTTCTGTATTTTTTTCTCTTGTTAAGTCCTTTTGAAGCTAGGTGCAGTTCTGCATGTCTATAATCCCAGCTTCTCTGGAGGCTGAGAGTGTAGGGTAAGTTTGAGTCCAGCCTGGGCAACATAGCAAGACCCCGCATAAAAAAGAATCTTTTGTTTGCAATTAAGCATATCTTGCTTCTAAAACAAAACATGTGAAAATAAACTTCCTTTGGGTAGGCTACTTTTATTAAATTTGATTAGGGAAATTTTTTAGAGGATATGGTTTCATAATTTACCCTTGAAAAGTAAATACAATTTGGAAATATTTTAGGTGAGCAAAAGACTCTTAGAGATGGTATACTATTGGCTGTTTATTATGATGCTATTCTTTCATCATTTTTCCATGTGGTTTTCCCACATATTGGATATTTTCTAACAGCTTTTAAATGGGAAATTCAAAAAGTTAAACCTCAGTATTCATTGGTAAGCTCATCCATTTCTCTCTCTGTCTCTCTTTTTTTTTTTTTTTTTTTTTTGTCCTTTTGAGACAGGGCCTTGCTATGCAGTTCAGGCTGGCTTTGAATTCACTTTGTAGCCCAGGCTGTTCTCAGACTTCCAGCCATCCTCCTGTCTCAGCCTCCAGAGTGTTGGGATTACAGGTGTGAGCCACCACGCCTAGCAGCTCATACATTTCTGAGAGAATTTTTCATTTTGATTTTTGGCTTCCTCCTGGAGCACTGGTTTTTGTCCATCCTATTTTGCAAGATATCTGTTAAACTTGTATTTCTGTTACTCGAAATTTTATTTCTGAAATTTGCAATTCATTTTCATCAAACATGCTTTTGAATTTCTTTATTAATATGCTTACTTTAAATCCTTGTTTTCCTTAAACCATGCATTTCCTTTTGATGCTCATTTTTTTTATCGGATATGGTATCTCTCTCTCATGCTACTTTCTTTTAGGGTTTATTAGTCTCTAATTATCTAGTCATTTTCATATTTTAGAATCTTTCTTCTTTTGCCTACTGGTTGCTTTTAACATACGCTGCTTCTGCTGTTTGTGGGGCTTATACCTGCCCTTTTTCCACTCAGCTGTTTAATCCCCTGGGTAAGACTCACTGGGGCATATAAATGGAGGAATAGGAAGAACTGCCCACCCCTGCTCCTCAGTTACTCATCCTCAGGCATGTCCCCTCTTTGTCTTTAGAGTACCTGCCTCTAATTCAGAGGGTTTCTCGAGAAATGCCCTTATCTCTGGAGGATAATGAACTGTGGGTTTTTTCTGGTAGTTTCTCAGTAAATGTAACACTCTGGTGGAATTTCTCAAAGTACTTATTTTACCTTCAGTAGCATTCCTTTTTGATTGTCAGCCTTTTACTGGTTTTTTTGTTGTTTTTGTTTTTCCTGTTAAGTATATATCTCACATTTCAAATGATTGGAGAAAGGGGTACAGGTATGGGCCCAGTTTATCATTGGATTTTACTTGGCATTTAATATTTAGCAGCATTATAGGGTTACGGTTGGACTAATTTCAGGTTAATCTTGGAGCTGTAGACTTTTGGTTGTAGAGTGTAATTATGAAGATAAATGGCCCATGTGTGTTTTTGTTGGTGAACCTGAAACCATTTATACTCAGTGACTCTTTTAGCAGTTGCTCAAATATTCCTTGATTAGAGTTTGAATCATTCTGCCAGTAAGGAAAATTGCATTTTAGAATTAAGCAATTTTATTTATGAAACATAAGTACTTTCTTCCACGCTAATTATTATTAATTTAATCTGAAGTTCCTTTCAGAAATTACTAATCTAATTCTGGGAACAGAAACTGGAAGGGTGCTCATCAAATGCTTTTAGTATAATCTCACTCTGTCCAGGAAAAAAACTAAATAATTTCCCCAGTATGCTACATTGTTGATTAGTAATCATTGTTTTTACTTTTATATTGCTTAGCTGAAACTCACCATGTTCTTCTTTTCCTAGCTGGACACCTTTAAAAGCGACCCTGAGAGTATTAAAGAAGCTAAAAGTGGTGATGTAAGCTGCATTAGCACTAACAAGCTGGAGAAGCACATGGGAGTTGCTAAGAACAAGCAGAAGAATTTACAACCAGCACCTGAGAATCCAAATGATGGCATTAGTGGAGAGGAAGACAAGGAGGGGAAACCACACAAAAATGTTCCAAAGGCTGCACAAGAAAGGGAACCAGAGACTCTAGAGAAGAAGGTAGACTCCGTGTATCAGAAAGTGCAAACAAAGTCACAGTCGGGTGTTGAGTATCAGAAAAGTGGGAAAGCAAATGAGGGAAGAAAAAATAATGATTTATTAACAGCGGAAGAAGAGCTGATGCAAGCATATCAGCTCCAGGCAGCTGAAGAGATGGCAAAGGAGATTAAGAAGAAAATAAGAAAGAAACTAGATGAACAGTTGACTAACTTTTCTTCAGATACTTTATCGCCTGATGACAAATTGAGCAGTGAAAAAAGAAGAAAGAAAAAAAGGAAAGTTCCACTCCTGCCCAAAGCTGAAACAAGGTACTTTATACTGATAAATACACAATTTACTCTTAAGAAAGAATGTATTTTTTCATCTTTTGAGTGATAACTACAGCTTAATTAAGAAAACTCTTAGTCTTTTATTGAAAAACATTGGCTCTAAGACAATAATGGCTAACCTTTATACAGCACCTTCCCATGTGCTAAAGGCTTCATGAGAATTAACTCATTTATCCTTTGAAACAATCTTATGAGGAAAACTAAAACTATCCTACTTTGTTGAAGAAGAAACTGAAAGATTGAAGTCTCAGGACTAACAAAGAGGCTGAACCAGAGCTTTGGCAGTCTAGCTCCGTGTTTCTACTTACTTAAATCTGCTTTCAAAATGGTAGAAACCTAATTACTCCTTTTTTTGAGTGATAAATGCCTGTTTGGATGTATAAATATGGATTTTTTTCCTTATTTCCCCAAAATATTTGCTCATTTAAAGTAGCCATCAAAAGGTAGTTACTGTTGACAACTTGGTGTTCACCTAGTCTTTCCTTTATGATTCTTACGTGTTTGTATATATGATATAGGTTTCTTATGTTCATATTTACAGGTTCTTTACCCCCCTCCAAAAAAACTCACCAGTAACCTAAAAACTCTTTAACCAACAACTTCTTTCCCATTTAGAGAAACAACTTGCAGTGGGAACATTCTGCGTATGACTGTTCTTTGGCATTCCAGGGCAATTTCCCCTTAACCCGTCAGCTAAAAAAGAATTCCCCTCTTATCAAAAGCTGGATGACCAATAGTAAGAATGGAAATCAGTTTGCTACAGTGATATGTTAATAATAAAAGTATTAGTTATCTATTGCTGCTCTCTTAGTTACTGTTTTCTCACTGAGCTGTAATACCCAAAACCCACAGAGTAAAAGAAGAAAGGTTTCTTTTGGGTCACATTCACAGTCCATGGTTGGCTGGCTGCGGCCAGGACGGCATGGCAGAGGGGCATAGCAGAGGAGAGCTGTTCAGTGTCACAGCGCACCCACAGGAAGCAGAGAGAAGGGAGGTGCTAGGGAGAGAGTTAACCCTCCCAGGCCATGCTCCCAGTGATGCTTCTCTGGGCATATGTGTGACCAAACCTGCACATCTTAATAGCAAGCCAGCTAGAGCCATCATAATCTAATCATTCTTCCGAAAGCCCTGACACTGGAGTGCGTGAGGCTCTGTAGGGACAACTACATATAAACCATAACAGCTGCATGAAAAAATTAACTGAGAGCATTGTGCCTTAGAGCAACATTTATTGTCTCAAAGTTTCTGTGGTTTTGGAGCGTAGGAGTAACTTAGCTGCATGCCTCTGACTATCAAAGGGCTCACAAGCCACCTTTAGGATGTTAGCCAGTGCTGAAGTAAGCTCAAACCTCATCTTGCAGAGGACCTGCCAAGTGACATAGCTCTTAGAGGGCCTTGGAAACTCCACTTCTAAACTCAGTCAGAAGTCAGTGGCTGCTGGCAAGTGTGCCTCCCAGAGACATCAGTTCCTTGCCACATGACCCTTTCCATGTGTGCTGCTCACAGCATGGCTGTTTGCTTCCGTACAGCAAAGGCTCTGAAGGAGCAAGAAAAAGGCAGAAGTCAGTCTTTTTAGGACCTAATCTTAGAATTGGCATCCATTACTTTGGCATTGTCCATTAGAAGTAGGAGAAGGGTAGCTGTACTTAAATAATAATACTTCATGATGTGACAAGATGCATGGCTTTCTGGAATGACTCATTTTAAAAATTTGTCTCTTTTTATTACTCAACTTTTTTTTCCAAAGATAACTGAATATTTTAGAAGTCAAATTTTTATTATTTAAATGCAGATTTACTTTATAAATTACAAACTTTTTCAGGTAATGAGACTCAAACCCAGTTCCTTTACACTGAGGACATCCCCCCTTTTTAATTTTGAAACAGGGTCTTACTAAGTAGCTAAATTCCCCAGGCTAGGCTCAAGCTTGGGATCCTCCTGCTTCAGCCTTCTAGAGTACTGAGATTATAGGTGTGTACCACCATTGCTGGCACAAATTTTAAAGTGTTAGTTTCTCTTTAAAATCATTTTATTCCTGGGCTGCTACCCCTTACCATTTATTGATTCACATGATTCAGATTTTCATTTTAACTGTAGCTTAGAAATGTCACTTACCAACCACTGGAAAACAGAAGAATTAATTTTTACCTAGAAGTCAAAAATTGTATTTCTGAAGCTTCTTAAAAATGGAACAAGCCTAAAATACTTTTTTTGCCTTCCTATAAAGTAATTTTGAAATGTATTAATTGCTAACTTAACATCGGGGTGAAGATGCTTTAATTAGTCTCATGTAAACAGATTCCATTGCTCATAAAATACAATTCCATTTTCCCCTAGGGTTTAGTGTTCAGTTAAATTCGCTCATGGAAAATTAACTCCTCACTAAGCATACCTAAAATAGAATCAAAGATGCCTGGCTTGACACCTAGTCATTTTATTATGTAAGAAAAATATGTGCTTCTCCTAGCAGAAAATAACAATCTAGGATTATCCTTGCTTCTGTTTACTGAATAATAATAATAATATCTGAATAATAATAATTATTAATATAATAATTATTTATAATGGCTTGTGTTTGGGTTGCATGTGTAGCAGCACATTGACTCTCTCTGATGGTACTTTGGAAGATGAACAAAAGAAGGAATCTCCAGTTGGAGCTATTACTTCAGATTCTCACCAAGATGGTGAAATGAACTCAATGGAACAAAACGTAGATGACAACATGGCAGAGAACACAAAATCCAAACCAAAAAAAACAAAAAAGAAGACTAAAGCAGGTTTGTTACCCAAACTAAGTGAAAAACCATGTGCCTTGGTAGAAATAACTTGACCCTAGGATATTAGCTCTTAAAGCTAAAACTGAAGGATAGAGTTTAAAATAATTCAGTACAGATGTTTTTTACTTGATCTTGATTCACTTAGATTAAACCAACCATTTATTTTTAACTCTTGGTCTCTGTGATGTTTGTATTACTTAAGTCAGCCATCTTCCTCCTGATTTTAATTCAACTTTAGAGTCAGTGACTTTGTAGTTACTTTTTATGTCATAGAAATTTCTTTTTAAACCATTGAGTTTCTAGCCCCTAAATGATTAAGACTCCAGTATTAAAAGCTAGACTGGTCAACAGCCAGCATTGTAGATATTAGGGCTACAGCCCTCTTTCGTTCGTGGTGTCTTTCCAGCTCCTCAGTCTAATTCAGCTTCTCTCCACTCTCTTCATTTTCCTCTCCCCTCTCAATTTCTGTTATTTATCTAAAATATGCAGTTTTACTATTTGTGGATTTTAGGCAATAGAGGATGCAATTGATAATGTTTTGTGCCTCTCGCAGTTAAAATTTTTATAGCTTTGTTGAAAGGTGATATACATATAGAAAGAGGTCTCACAAAGGTACTGTTTATTGAATTTTCACAAACTGAACAAACCTATAAAATCATCATTCAAATCAAATGATAGAATTACAGAATTACAATTAACAAAAAAAGGGAATATCGTCAGCACCCAAAAGATCTCTCAAGTCCCCTTCGGATTGGTTTTGTACAGGAATAACCACTACCCTGACAACAAACACAGTCTACTTTTTTGCCTATTTTTGTGTAGTAATATGAATAGAATCATAAATACTCTCCTTTTTGTGTCTAGCTTCCTTGCAATGTTATTTTTGTAAAATTTATGCTATTCTTATATTTTAAGTGTTCTGTATCACAATTAATTTAGTCTATTGATAGGTACTTAGTTGTTACTAGGTTTGGGCAATTCTAAGAAAAGCATATTAAAAGTAATAAACATTCTATAGTCACAACTTTTGGTGGACATCTGTATACATTTTTGTCAGGCCCATTCTTAGAGTTGCTATGACATATATTATGTATATTTTAATAGCGCCTGGAATTTTAGTATACATTGTTTCTGTACTTCTCTGATAACTTAAAAATGTGATTTTCATAATTTGTGTTTTTCCGATTGGTTTTACGTGAAGCACAATCTACTGCATCTTGCTACATTTTATGCAAAAAGAGAAATTCCAGTTATATTCCAGATGATAAATATTCCACCTAGAATATACCTAGATAAAATTACTTTTTGTTTTGAGACTCTTTTTTTTCTCCTTTTGTGTTATTTATCCTTGTTGGGGAAAAAATAGATACCTCATCCTATTTTAGCACATCAGTAAATGCAGTATTTAACTCACAGTGTGTGGTCTGCTAGTGTCTGGCCTTTTCTTTCCTTCCTCTTTTAGTTCTTGTTACTAGAATGAAATAATCATAAATCAGAAAAATTAATGTGTAAATCCAATTGAAAACAATTATGATATTAATTTTTTTCTTTGCATGTAGTTTCAGATAATAATGAAGAAATTGATGGAGCTGGTGTTCATGAAATGACAAGCCAAGATAATCCAGTTTATCCCAGAAATTTGCTTGATGATGGCCTTGTCTTAGGAGTTTACATTCACCGAACTGACCGACTTAAATCAGATTTTATGATTTCCCACCCAATGGTAAAAATTCATGTGGTTGATGAGAAAACTGGTCAGTATGTCAAGAAAGATGACAGGTAATTTTTCACATTGCACAGCTTACCTTTTAAATTGAAGCTGTCTGTAGTAGGAGTTTTTATTTATGCTACTACTGGCAATAGTTCAAAGTCAATGAAATAGAAATGTGAATTTATGGTAAAGAAGAGTCTGTTGGCTGTAGGTATTCATCAACCGTTTGATACTTATAGAAAAAATGGAGAATCTGTTCAGTGTTAGTAGAGAGCTGCTAGTAAGCTTAATGATTAATTTATGCCATAAAACTTACACTGTAAATCATCTTGCTTTATGAATGTAGTTTTATAGCCTCATATTTCTCTTTAGAAATTAATGTTACTCAGGGGAGGTAAGTCTTGAAATTTTTCCGGAGATCACTTCTACAAGCAAGACATACATGAAGACCCAGATAAAATATACAATAAAATAAATGATCATACTGATATCCTCAAAAATTATTTGTGTGGATGGGGAGGAAAACATGAAGATTATTATAAAAAGGTTATATATTCCATTGTTTGAGGTCATATAAAGAAAATAGGACAGCTTAAAAAGTTTTGCTCACGTTTTATGCAAATGAAATTCTTGTAAATTTTATCGCAAACTCATGTAAAATTCAGGAGTTACTTTGTTCCAGCTATTCATACCTCTCGCTGTATATTTCTGTAATGAAGTAATTCTGTGAAACCAACTGATAGCATATAATAAATACAAAATTAAAGTAATACTCTACTACTTTTGAGTTTTATAAAATTTATAATTCTTTAGATGGACAATGAAAAGAATATTTTCTTTTACAGCATTTTGGCTATTATTTCTGGTTACCTTTGTTGTATACTCTGTATTCTCATTTTCTAAAATTATAATGAATTGTGTTAATTGAACTGTCTCTTTGAACAGCAAGCATCCTGTGTCATCCTCCTATGAAAAAGAGAATGTGGATTATATTCTTCCAATCATGACGCAGCCATATAATTTTAAACAGTTAACATCAAGACTTCCAGAGTGGGAAGAACAAATTATATTTAGTGAAAATTTTCCCTATTTGCTTCAAGATTTTGATGAGGCTCCTAAGGTGATCCTATTCTTTGAGGTATGAATTAATAGAGTAATTTAAACTAAATTTTAGTCTATTTTTAGTAGTGCAGTAATGCAACAAAGATGTATTAGAGTTTGTAATATGCTGTGCAGATAAAAATGAGGACTTATTTTTTTAAACAGCTATAGCATATTTGCTGAGCATTGCTAGTGCTCGGGGTTAGCCATGTACCTACTCTTAAGATATCCTTTAATCCCTACAGCAACACCACGACCGGTAACTGAAGTGACAAATATGACCTATATGAATGCAGTTCTCCTCTTTGAACCCATTCACTAAGTGTGAACACATTTAACTATATCAGGCTAACAATATGCAGACCACCTAGATAAAAAAATAAGCATGCACAGATCAACTGAATAATACAGTGTAATATAACCAACAAAATAAGGAATTTCTGAGATGTGAAATAGAAAGTCAGAGCAGTCAGAGACAGCTTTGTAGGTAACCTTCGAGCAGACTTGCTATTCTAATATTTTTACTGAAAAGAAGTGATTTCCTCTAATTTTAATTGTAGATAACTTGATGGTAATTTGACTCTAGAATACCACAGTTCTTTTCTCTGTTTTATTGTTTTTCTATAAGCAAAAGGAAGTAGAGAAACCTCCCTTCCAGCTTAACCGAGCTAAAAAATTTTCGCCTGGGAAGGACCAGCGCTGATAACACATTTTGTGGAATTGCTTGTTTTTATGACCCTTGACTGTCAGCTTATTTGTATGTTTCTATGATACAAATATTTTACTGTTCACATCTGTAATTATGCTTTATGTAATTTGTAAAGAGCTATGATTTTCTTAAAAAGAGATGCAGTAATTCATATCTCAAGGAACTTATTTGTTACACAAACTTGTCATTTTTATTACAGTATTTTTGAATAATTTATTAAGAGATTTAAGAATTACAGATTACTGGATTATAAACACTTTGGTTACTTCTTGAATTTTAACATGTGTTATTGCCTCAGTAACTACTTTTTTACTTCCATTTTTTAAAAGTTTAGTGAGGACAATTTGATAATATATATCAGAAATCTTTAAAACTATTTTTACTCCTAGATATATATTGTATGTGAAAAATAACAAGTCCATGAAGATGTGCATGCAAGGACATTTATTTCAACTTCATTTATAATAGCAGAAGTTTTAGAATGCTAAAGGAACCTAAATTTCAATTAGTAACAGATTTGTCATAATTATGATTTTTATAGAATATATGATATGTATAATGCAGAAGAACAGTAGGTAGACATTAATATGATGGCTTCATATAAATCATACATAGCATAGTCAGAGCTGTAAATGATAAAATATTGGTATCATACACATGCACATCTCTTGGGATATCTACTACATACTTCATGACAATAGTTAGCAAAATAGCTAACAATACTATAGTATTGGATTTACAGTATAGTCCTGTGCTCACATATGTTCAGGAATACAGAGACAAAAAGTTTAGATCAGTATAAACAAATGTTACAATGGTTATTTATGGGCTTGGATTACAAATTGTCAGTGTTTTTTACTGAACATGTGTAATTGAAAACGATTTAAGTCTCTAAAGAAGAGGGTGGAATTAAATCCATATTGTTGTTTAAGCGGTCTTCAACAAAAACTTATCTTGAACTTTTAAGCACCAGTAAGTACAAAGTGATAGCCTCTGGAGTATAGACAATCTCTGTGACAGGTGTGTTGCAAGTCCTTGAGCTTTAGTATCTAGACAAGATGGAAGTATGAAAGAAATTCTAATTATAATGTATATCTAAAGAAAAAGGAAGATAGTCAAGGCAAAAATGTAGAAATAGGGTCCTGAGTTTCTAAAATAGTCCTTTGAAGTCTGCTCTTATAGAAGAAAAATGATCAGAACTTAAGAATTCTATGCTTGATATATTTGCGCCTACACAATATTTGAAGTAATTTTTAAAAAACATTTTTTATTTTTAATTAACACATACTTATACATACTTGTGGGTTACAGTGTGACATTCATATGTATGTGTGCCTGTGTGTGTGTGTGTGTGTGTGTGTGTGTACACAATGTGTGATGATCAGATCAGGGTGATTGGGATGTCTGTCATATTTTAGGTAATTACTACTTTACCTTGAACTTGAAATAAATTTTAATAAAAGAATTATTCATAAAAGATAAAGTAGTCAGTGAACTCTCAATAAATGAGTGGGTTGACTTGCAAGTGAATGAAATGAGATTAAAATTTTTTATTCCCTATAAAGGAAACACTTTTAAGTATCCAAATGATAATTTAATATTACAGAAAATACTAAATTTTAGATAGCCTCATGTTCTGTGAAATAATTAAAATTTTTTTTGCAGATTCTTGATTTTTTAAGCATGGATGAAATTAAGAATAATTCTGAAGTTCGAAACCAAGAATGTGGCTTTCGGAAAATTGCCTGGGCCTTTCTTAAAGTATGTTTTTCATCCATTTTAAACACATTTAAAATAATCTCCGAATTTGATTGGTGTTGTTCACTGAAGCTCTGGGAGGCTTCTTAAAATTTTAAGGTATTTATTGATTGCCTCTGCCAGGTACACTTTTAGCCCCTAAGATGCAAGCACTGAAGACGACCCATGTAGCCTTGCCATCGCTTGTTCAGTTCAATGGGTTTGAGCCCCTTCTGTGTGCCAGCCGCTGTTGTAGTCAGCACTCCTAAAGCAGACAAATCCCTGGGCCATGTCAACTACAAATCCTAGCAAGAAAAATGTATCACAATTGCTCACACAATTTGTTATCCAATTACATTTTTATAAAATGTCTAAAATGTATAGGGTAAGTAAGGAAAAGAAGGGTCCTGTGGTTTCCTAAGAAAAGGCATTTAACTTAAGCATTAGAAGAGTGTTCTAGGGAATAAATAAGATATGCAGGCTGATACTCAGAGGAGCAAGGTATGTTTTCATAACTGAGAGAAGACCGCTGAGTTTAGAGGACAGAGGCTGAGACAGAATGGTGTGTGAAAAGGTTGCTGAGGTGTTGATTACACAGGGACTTCTAACTCATGATAAAACTGTAAAGAACTATGGGAAACAATCAGAGGATTTTAAACAGATAAACTAATTGGAAGGCTACTTGAACAGGGTAGAACGCAGATTCTGGAAGAATTTAGGAGATTCTTGCAGTAGTCTGAGTACAAAATGATGGTGTCTTTGACTAGGATGTTTCAGCAGAGAAATCCTGAAAGGTTAGTATTTTAAAAAGAAGAAGGGGCTGAAGATGTGGCTCAGTGGTAGAGTTCTTGCTTTGTGTGCACAAGGCTCTGAGTTCAATTCCCAGTACCACAATAAAATAAAATCAAAATTTTAAAAAAATTAAAAAGAAGGGGCTGTGTATGTCACTCAGTGGTTGAATGCTTGTCTAGTAAGTACAAGACCTTGGGTTTGATGTCTCAAGGTCTGCAGAAAGGAAAGAAGGAAGGAAGGGAAGGAGAGAGGAGAAAGATAGGAAGGAAAGTTTTACATGTACTTTCTTATTCCTTGTGTCCTCTATTTCTGTCTTCAGTATAAATTTGAATTATGAAAAGCCTTGAGTTTGTACCATCTCCTGTCTCAAAAACTTCTCGATGTGTGTCTGTCCATCTAATATTTATTGTTTCTGTGAAACATGAGCCATTTGCTTACTCATAAATTAGAGCACTCATAAATTTATTAGGCATTGAACTTGCCATCTAATTTAAGTTTCTGTACTTAAATTAGATGTATGATTATGTGTTATGTAGTAAATTCTGTGAAACCCTAGTTTAGGGATTTACTTCTTGTTGGGCTGGAGAGAGTCTTTAGGAAAGATGCAGGGTGAATAGCAATCAGTAAAAAGCCAAGAATGGCCTTAAGAGTGACCTAGTTCAATGTTCCATCTAAAATTACTCTAACTCATTATACCTTTTTTTAGACCCATTCCTAGTACTAATTTAGATTTAAAAACAAATAATAAAAGCCAACAAACCAAAATAGAAAATTCACATTCATACAGCAAACTTTACTATATAGTAGTTCATTAGAAACTACTCTTATTCCCTCTGTATTAAAGTTTGTACAAATCTTCTATATTTATCCTAAACTGAAATTAAGAAACAATAACAGATTTTTACCTTTATGTATCACGTGGATTTTTATTCATTTATCTTACTCCTTTGGCAGAAATGACAATCAAGAATTCTCCCTATCTCATCCCCATCCCCATAAAGGGTCAAGTATTCTATGTGCTTCCCCTTTGTAACAATATCTTCTTCATTTTCTAAGCTTTTCAGAATCGAGTGACTTTTTCATAAATTTATTGAACATTTTTAGTTCTGTTTTATTAGATATCCTTGCATTTAATATATCACTGTTTTGAAATAATCATAATATCACTAGCTCCCACTGTATTGTGCTTGAAGAATATCTACTGAGGGAATTACTGAATAGATGGAAAGAGTGATGAGGGTAGAAATTCATTTTAAGGAAATAGCACCAATTAAGTTAAATTGTAAATGTTTTACTACATATATTTGGTTGTGGGATGTCTTGGATAATTGTAAAGTTATCATAGTAGTCTACAAGGCTGCATCCTGATTCTCAGTTACAGTTCATGTCTCAGGCACTTCTTTATTCTTATAGCACATATATGTGACTATTCTCTTAAACTTAATTTTGTTTTGGTCTTTCTTTTGAGACAGGGTCTCACTATGCAGTTCAGGCTGGCCTTGAGCTCACTTTCTAGCCCAGACTGGCCTCAAACTTGAAACAGTCCTCCTGCCTCAGCCTCCTGAGTGCTGGGATTACAGGTGTGTGCCACCAAGCCTGGCTAAATTTAAATTAATGAAACAATTATTAGAATCTACATTATACAGTTTATAACTACAGTCAAGGTCTTGGCTGGATCTTAGTTGCTTACTCATATTAACCAACATAGTACTATAAACTAGATTGCCTAGAGAATTCTAAAACAACCAATGGAAAGTGTGATTTGGAAGCTGACTCTAGCTCCTCAAAAGTTACTGTGATAAATTTTGGACAGATAATGGGAAGATTTATGAAAGTTAAGTAATGCAGTGCTTAATACTTAATGACAGTATTATTACTCAGTTTGGAACTTTTTCACTTCTCTGTGTCACGTGACACTGATCATAGTGCCACCCCTTTACTTGTAACCTTTATTGTCTTTACATTATTTGTCAGAGTGTAGGGGGAAAGTAGGCTACATTTTATGACTCATTTGCTTATCTATGTGTCATTCCTATACCAAAGCTGGATTTTGTCTCTGCCGGTAAAACTTCTCCAGTCAAATCGCAAATATTTGTTTGCCAAATCTTCATATTGCAAATTAATATGCAAATTTGAATAGTCTATTACTGTTACACCTATGTGCATTTATGTATCACTTTCTTGAAACTGTTACTTTGGCTTTGTTGACACCATCCTTTCCTGACTTTCCTTATGCCATTCCTTCATGGTCTTCCACCTGCTACTTTAATGTCAGTCCTGCTGTTAGTTAAATCACTTTTCTTGCAACCACTTTCTTTACTTGTCTTTCAGATTTATAAATGTAATTACTTACTGCACAGTTCAACTTAGATGACTCTAGATGTCTCGGACTTCCCTGAAGTGAATACTTTACTTAATCTCCTGTCTCTGTTGACTACTTTCTGTAGTTGGTAGTACTAAGGATGTCTCCCCATTTTCCCAGGTTTATGACCATGGAATTATCCTGTTTATTTTGGTAGCCACAAGTCATATGTGACTAACTGAATTCAGATGAATAGAAATTTAGTTAAAAATCCAATTCAATGGTTTCACTGTCCACACTTCAGTAACTCCATGTGACTAGTGAATCCTGTGTTGGATGGCATAGAAAGTTTTCTTGGACAGTGCTGCCTTAGAGTCTTTCTTTGACCCTTTTTATTTTCCAAGTTGCCTAAATTGGTAGCATTATATATTATTCATCATATCTTCTCCCTCAGTGCCTACTCTTCTGGTTTAAGTTGCCTTCATGCTCTGTCTGCACTGCTACAAAAACTCCTAGTTACCGCTTTATCCTTCATTTGTAAAGGATATAAAGGTTAGAAAGATATTTCCTATTTACAGTCATGGTCTGGTGAAAGAGGACCTGTTCTGGATTGATGAAGCTTAATTTTTTTTTTTTATAAGAATCTCCATTTAGGGCTGGGGATTTAGCTCAGTGGCAAAAGCGCCTGCCTGGCAAGCGCAAGGTCGTGAGTTCACTTCCCAGTACCAGAGAAAAATCAAAAAAAATAAATAAATAAATAAAGAATCTCCATTTATGCTGGAGTTATAGCTCCTTGGTGCAGCACCTACCTGGCAAGTGCAAGGTCCTGAGTTCAATTCTGAGCTCAAAAAAAAAAAAAAAGAATCTCTATTATGTAGCTTAATTTTTTTTGTTAGGTTTTTTGTTTGTTTTATTTGGTTTTGGTTTTGGTATGGAAGGACCTTGCACTTACCAGACAGGTGCTATGCCACTGAGCTATCTCCCTGGCCTTGTAGGTTTTTTGTTTTTTTTTTAATAGATCTTTTTAAGAAGTAGAATACCATAATTAGAAAATACAATGAGTGGTTTGAATTAGTTTAATTAAATTCATTTTAAATTTAAAGATATTGAAACATAAAATTTTAACCATTAAAATCCTGATAGTAAACAAAGGAAAAATTTGTTTCTCTGTTTAAGAAATATGTATTTTAATATTTATCATTATTTCAGACAAATGTATGTTGATCATTTATGCAAAGTGACGTCTGGCACAGTAGTGTAAATACTTCAGCATTGGTCTGAAGTGTTCTGAACAGGTGAAAAGAGAGCTGTTGGAAAGGTTTTAAAAAATCATTGGGGTTATATTTTATCAGAAAAGATCTGAAACTGCCTATGTCAATCTTCTTTGCTTTGTAAATCTAAGCAATTTCAGTATGCCGTGTGACTGTTTTTAAAAATAAGTTTCTATTTACTGTTGCTTTGTTGGATGTACCTATTTTCAATAAAAGTAATATTTTATGCATGAATTCCTGTTTTAAGCTTCTGGGAGCCAACGGAAATGCAAATATCAATTCAAAACTTCGCTTGCAGCTGTACTACCCGCCTACTAAGCCTCGATCTCAGTTAAATGTTGTTGAGGTTTTTGAATGGTGGTCCAGATGTCCAAGAAATCGTTACCCATCAACGTTGTATGTAACTGTACGAGGACTGAAAGTTCCAGACTCTGTAAGTTAATAATACATATAAATGTATATCCTTTATTATTAAAATTAAATGACAGAATATCTTTTCCAATTTTACAAAAGATAAAGTCTGCAACATTATTTAAATAGTTTTATTTAATTGAAAGATGCCTTCAGAGATTGTATATTAAGCCAGTAACAGTTGATACTAAAGAGATAATTTAAATTGTAATTTAAATGTATATTTTATGGCTAGTAAAAATGCTATAATTTGATTTTTTAAAAGTGAAGATAAAAGGATGACTTAAAGCTGAGGTTGAAGGATGTGAGGGAGATCTGACTGCGACATCTGTCATCCCATTGATCGCCAGGGTTGGTTCGGCTGATCTGGCTGGCTAGGCAGGTGTCCCCTTCCTCCCTCAATGCTCCATGTGCATCCCTCCCGAAGCTGCGTGCTTGGTCGAAGAGGACCACCACCCCTGATAGAGGAGGACCATTCCTCGGTCAAGGGTATACGAGTAGCTGCGCTCCCCTGCTAGAACCTCCAAACAAGCTCTCAAAGCTGAGGTTGAAAATATTTTTCTTATAAACAGAGAGCAAATATTTTAGGCTTTGCAAGCCATATATTTGTTACCACAAGTACTCAACTTTGTATTGTGGAAGTAGCTATATAAATGTATGTAGCCACTAACTAAACAAATGGGTATGATATGTCACCATAGAACTATTTACAAGCCAAGTGTGGTAGTGTGTGCTTGTAATCCCAACACTCTGAGAGGCAGAGGCAAAAGCCTTGCAAATTTGAGCCCAGCATGAACAATTCAGCAGCTTAGTGAGACTCTTTCTCAAAATTTAAAAAAACAAACAAAAGGGCTGGGGATGTAGCTCAGGGTGAAGGCCAAAGTCCCTAGGCTCACTCCTCAGTACTGCAAATAAATAAATAAATAATTTATATTAACAGATAGTAGACCAGCCTAGGTATGTGGACTATAGTTGGCAGACTTCTGAATTACATATTTTACAATAGAAATATTCAAATAATAAATAGTATTTCTAATGCTGTTTTCTAAAGATTAATATTATAAATATAAATGATCTTAGCAAAGACTTAGATCTAAACTGAGAGACGTTTGCTTTGTCTCATTTTTTGTTATATTAATCTTTCAGATCAGTTTTACCTTCTGCAGCTGATATTATGTACTGTCACCACAGTGTTGGTTTGCATTTGTGTGAATTGAATTTAAAAAGACAGGAAATGAGGATTTTTAAAACTTCAGACTTTTATGGTATTAATTTTGTGATTTTTTTTTTTTTAAGCCAGATAGCATACATTATGTAAGAGCTATGGCATAACAGCAGATAAGTGTTGATGAAGAAGCAGCAACAAAGGAACAGAGTTATTAAAATCATTTTGTGCAACCGTTGGGATCTGTTATCCAAACTCTAAGGCTTTTTGACTATAGGACTCAAGTTGATTTTATTTTATTTAGAATCCTGTATAAATAAAAATGAGACTTTTTTTTTTCTGGATCATGTTTTGATAAAATGTGTTGTTATTTTTAAAATACTGTATATTAAACAAGACAAAAAGGTGAACGTGATATAAATTTTCTCATTTTCTATGTATTTTTAGGTAAAGCCATCTTACCGCTCTGTGATGGTTCTTCAGGAAGAGAAAGATAAACCAGTATGTTATGAACAGCACTGTGAGTCAAATTCAGTGGACACAGAGCCTGGATTAGAAGATTCGAAGGAAATAGTAGAGTGGAAACGACTACCTGGACAGGTGAAGTGTTTAATATTACTATATTCATTTAAATATTTGCTACCTTATAAACCATAGATTCACATATGGTCACAAACCATAGATTTTTGATGCCTGTAAGAGCTATATCTCTTTTTTTTGTTTTGTCTTTTTGAGACAGAGTCTCACTATGTAGTTCAGGCTGACCTTGAGCTCACTTTGTAGCCCAGGCTGGCCAGTCCTCCTGCCTCAGCCTCCTGAGTGCTGGGATTACAGGCATGCGCCACCACGCCCAGTGAGCTGTATCTCTTAAACTTTATGAATTCATATAAATCCTGGTTTCTTCCTGCATCACATCTTGATGGAGATAATATATATGCATATCCCTTTACTACAATTTGAACAGCATTTAAACTTTTACCAAAGTTTTCTTACTTAGCCTTTTTTGCAATGTTAGAAAAACATTAGCAGTCAGGTTTAGAAATTTTTTGCTTCCATTAAGAATGGAACCAAGCTGGGGATTTAGCTCAGCGGCATAGCGCCTGCCCGGCAAGCGCAAAAGAGACCAGTTTTACAGATACATTTTAAAACCACTGTATTGGTGTGGGAATACTTGAAACATAACACAAGTTGAGCATCCCTAATCTGAAAATACAAAATCCAAAATTCTTAAAAAACTTCAGATTTTAGAGCATTTTGGATTTTGGTTTTTCAGATTAAAGATGTTCAACCAGTATTCCAAAATTCAAAATAACTCCAAAATGTGAAATACTTCTGGTCCAAAGGATTTTGAATAAGATATTCAGCCTGTATTATGGAGAGACCAACACTTAGATGATACCCTGGGGAACCTTCCTTGTTAGCTAGGGAAAGAAGAAAACAGTCCCTGGGCTGTTCAGCAGGTGGTCTTGCGGGAAAAAATAGCTATGAATATAATTACATGAATTAGTAGTTCTCAAGATATAGTTTGGGACTCCTGGGACTCCTGAGATCCTTCCAGGGATTTCTTGAAGTCATTCTCTTTTCATAATGATTCTAACTTATTAGTTCTTTTTCACTTTCATTGTCACAAGCATATGCTATCGTTTTCTAGAGGCCAAATGACATATGAGATATCAGAAGAGTGAATGCAGTAGTCCTGAATATCTAGCTTTATTAAGCCAGATTAAGGAGAATTTTTAAAATGTACAAACCTATTTTATGTAGTTATTTTTCATAAAAACATTGTTTATGTTAATTGCTACTGTATTTAAATATTTTTTAAACTTTCCATTTTAATTTCTACAATGATAAATATCCATCATTATAGCCCCACAAACAAAAACTTTTTGAACTCCTCAAAAATATTTTGACTGTGAAGTAGCCTGAAACTAAGGAAGTTTGAGAATTGCAAAAAGAAGAAGGTGAGGGCCTGGGGATTTAGCTCAGTGGCAAAGCGCCTGCCTGGCAAGCGCAAGGTCATGAGTTCAATTCCTGGTACCGGAAGAAAAGACGAGAAAAAAAAAAAAAAAAAAAAGAAGAAGGTGAAAGAGCATGGAGAAGTAGGTCCATTCAGTGGGTGGGTTCATTCACTGGGATGGCCAGCTTAGGGAGGAGAAGACTATTTCATATGGAGGTACAGTTGCAAATGTGTGAAGATCATTTGTGTTCATTAGACCGTCTGACACTTGGCTAGCCAGAAACCACAGTCTGTCTGAGATACAGTGTGACAGATGAGGTTTACATGGTGGAGTGTGTGGAGCTTAATACTTGATTGTATGGAATGTGAGAAATGATGGTAGGTTTGAATAGGAGAGACACATTGATAACAATCTTATTTTAATAGAAACTAATGCTGGGAATGGCATATGGTGGATTCTGAAACAAGATACATTAAAATGAGAGTAATGTATGGATGGGATTTGATCATGATATATGAGGTGATTAGGGTCTAAACTTGAAAATGAAAGAGTAAGAGATGAACATAGGGTTAGAAAGTAAGACCCTACATGATTTAGTGGCTGAAAAAGTAGTAAGAGTGTGGGGATAGGGGTGGTATTCAGAGCAGTTGAATATTTTTATTGTTATTTTCTGATACTCACCGAGTGCTTATTCTGGGTGAGGACACAATGTCAAACCGTGAGAATACAGATAACAGGAGAGTGGCGTCAGTGATTGTGGTCTGCTTGACTTACCTCAGCTACACTCTAGGAACAGCAGTACGCAGTTACAAAGCCTCCTGACGTCTCCCTCAATTTCTGTCTTTTTATCCTTTGCTCCCTTTTCTTAATCATCTGGTCAGAGGATGGAAGAAAGAAATGAGCATCGTGGTGTCTGGTACATTATCGATGTATAACAGATGTCTGTTGAGTTTTTCCCATGCCTAGTAGGTCATAATGTTGCTTCCTGGGCTGCCAAATCCTGATGCTGTTTGTCAAAAACTTGATGCCTACCCAGAAATTAATCCTAACATCTTTGACAAGGCCTTTTAAGCTCGGCTTGACCCTTGGAATAATCCTTACTAGCTATATTTAGCTAATAATGGTTATTCTTAGTTAATGTTAGTTACTCACAGGGTTGCAATAATGAATATATTCAGGGCCATCTGTAATAAGGTCCAGCACTCATGGCATGCAGTAACAACCCAGTATATGATTAATTCAACTTTTTAAATATCAACAAATACAGGAACTAAGCCCCACTAAAGATTAAAGAGGTAAAATTAGGAAAAATAAAAGTAAGTAGTATTTTCAACAGTTGATAGTAATACCCAGAAAATTTTAGTTTTATCAGGTTATAGGTACTGAAAACATAGAAATTATTGAGAAATATTAATGCAGTTAGTGAATGAGAAGCAAATATGGGATGATTACTTGGAGCATATAGTAGTCTTATCTATAAGAGATCTATTCCTAGACCTCTGGTGGATGCTCAGAACCATAGGTAGTACTGAACTCCTCATAGACTATCTTTCTCCCTACAGACATAGCTATGATAAGGTTTAATGTTTAAATTAGATTCTATGTAACCATCTTTTTTTTTTTTTTTGGTACTGTGAATCGAATTCAGGACCTTAGGCTTGCCAGGCAGGCGTTTATGCCGCTAAGCTATACCCCTGGCCCTAATGTAACCATCTCTTATTTGTAGTAAATGGTTTGGTGTCATTTATTTTTAGGGGATCCCTTACTAAAATCTTCCTGTAGGCTCTGTGCTTTTTGATATAATATATCAATTGGAACACATTTTTTGTTCATGTTTTCTGCCTACAAATGTAATGTCGTCTCCACATTAACTAGGCATTAATCACTCACTGTGGCCGTAACTTGGAGTTTGAAGTATGACATCAAAATGAGCACAAATTTTTTCCTCCTTTACAGTTTGTTCTTATTCTTGATCTTAGTAACCTCAGAATAAGATTTTTTTTCTGAAGTCTGAACTTTTACCTTTTCACCTAAAGGAAGCAGTGAACAGCTTCTTTTTTGTTGTATGTGAATTGCCAACTCCACTACTCTTGTTCTTTGGAACTATTAACATGAGCACAAATACTGAGATTGATAATAGTCAATCTCATAGCCAACACAGCTATTCAGTGACTAACGAGCAGGTATCATATACAATGAGGGTATGCTGAATGAAGAGAGATAATTCCGATCCCACACATAGGATGGTACTGTTTCATCACAGTACTTCAAGTGGTGCAAATTTTAAAGCCATTGGCCTCATAAAATTGTTTATTTCTTGAATTTTCTTCCACTTAATATTTTCAGACCACACTTAACCAATAGTAATCAGAAGCCATGGAAAGCAAAACCACAGATAAAGGGGGAGACTGCTGTATATTTTGGAAAGAGTCACAAAGGATGGTTATTTTAAGAGAAAAAAAGAGAACCGAATGAACATTCATGCATCCTAGGCTTAGGCTAGGACATAGAAGGCATTTATAGTTTTAAAACAAGTTTGTCATCTGAGCAAAAATGACTTACTAGTTGCTGTCATGGGATAAAAAATGTGACACACGTTCTTTTTTGTGACTGTATAAAAGCAGTGTGGCAGTGAAAGATTCAGAGTATTATATACTGAATTTTTTTTATTCATATTTTAGGTGACATAAGTATTAGAAATGAACAGATTCACAATCTTATGGAGTATTATTCTGTTTAGAAAGTTAGGATTTTTTTATTACTTCTCAGCAATGTAGTAAAAGAACATTATAGTGGTTTTAAAAACCTACTATAGTAATTGAGATTAGCAACTAGCCTTTGTATTTTAATTTTTCTTAATTCATATTTTTACAATACTTGTTTTTTAGGCTTGCCGTATCCCAAACAAGCACCTATTCTCACTAAATGCAGGAGAGCGAGGATGTTTTTGTCTTGATTTCTCCCACAATGGAAGAATATTAGCAGCAGCCTGTGCCAGCCGGGATGGATATCCAATCATATGTGAGAAATCTGTTTGATCTGACTGTACTCCATGTAACAGACATTGGTTGGTTTAAAAATTCATTGAAATCTTGTGTAATCCTTAGTTCTAGTACATTAAAGAAGACAGATTTCTTCATGTAAAGAAATAGTTCTTTTATACTCTTAACCATTGAGAAGTAAAGTGAGAATATTAAGTGAAAGATGTTAATTTTTTTAAACATGCAAGAAATGTTTTTGAAAACATTTTTTACTTTACAGAAATTTAGAAACTTGAAGGATTATTCTCATGGAGAATTTTGCACTATGTAGTTAGATGGTAGCAGTGATAATTTGAATTATGAGAGCCCACAGATTTTTTTGTGCACTAGACAGTAGGGATTGCCTCAGAAGGACCTAGATGAAGAGTTCTCATTATGATTGGCAAGTAGCAAATAATCTCAAGAAAGATTATTTCTGTAGCTGTAGAGTGTTTTAGGTTTTTTAGCAAGTGTTATCATACTGTTCTAGAAGCATCAAATTTAGTCCCTTATTTTTGGCTCAGTAATGAAAACTGGCTTTTCAACAGGAAGAAGCCAAATCTGCCCTAAGCACTGAATTATGATAAATTTTACATACTCAGTTTATATAAGGTGTAATCAAAAAGTGAAGTGCGTGTTTAAATTTTAATAAATGTATTATAGTGAAAGACATATTGTCACAAATCCTTCTCAAGATATTCCCCCACCCTGCCTTAAACACACTTAGCCCATCGTTTTGCCACTTTCTTCAGCAGCTCTGGAAATGCGTTTTTGTCAGAGTCTTTAGTTGCATCGTTGTGGCTACCTCGATTCCTGAATTGATTCAGAATATTTCATGATCATTTTGACTTGAGGAAGAGCCGTACGTCGCATGGTGCCAGATCCGGTGAATAAGGTAGATGAAGACGACACACCATTATGTTTTTATGAGCCTGCCTTTACATTGGATGGCACTCAGCAGCAACATTCACTATATTTTTATCATGCCTCGTAAAGACACTCACAGAAGAGGACTTCTGGAAGTGCTTCAGAAGTGGCCAAAACAATGGGATAACTGTGTTCAAATTAATGTGTTCAAATTAATGGCAATGTGTCTTTCACTGTAATTTTTTTAATTTAGATATTCATTGTATATTTTGATCATACCATATAGTGATTTACTTTTTTTCAGCAGGGATTCCTAATTGAGTTCACTGGCATTTATTAAATCAATATTCCTTCCCATGAAATAATATTATATTTTTAAAATACAAAATTATTTGTGCAGCTTAATTAATCACTGTGCTGATTTAAAATTCACCAAAAACCAAAGGGGCAAAGACTTTTGGGAAACATGCTTCAAAATACTAATGCTAGCTAGGCGTGGTGGCACACACCTGTAATCCCAGCACTCGGAAGGCTGAGGCAGGAAGATCTTATGAGTTTGAGGCCAGCCTGGGTTGCAAAGTGAGCTGAAGGCCAGCCTGAACTGCATAGCGAGATCTTGTTTCAGAAATACTAAAAAAAAAAGAAAAAAAAAAAATTAATGCTGTAGTGATTTCTTTCTTTTGGTTAATGAAAGAATTCTTTTCATTCTGATTTATATCTTTTAAATTTTTGTGATAAACTCAGTCCATTATACTTAATTGTTCAGAATGCTATGGATTTAGATGTATGTATTGCTTAAATCTCAAAAACCAGAAGATGGAATCTTTGTCTTTGGTTTATGATTATGATTATGCTGTGTCTAAATTTGAAATTTGTTTAGTTTGTTAATTTTCAGATTAATATTTTTCACAAATTCGGGTGTTACTCAGTGTTGCTTCCCATTTTCTGTTTGCCCTTTTCTTTTCATGCTCTGGGACCCCATTATGCCTGTGCTCATAGACTTGATAGTGTCCCTCGGTCTCTGAGGCATACTTATTTTTCTTCATTCTTTTTCTGTTCTTCAGATTAGATAGTTTCAAGTGACCTATCATCAATTTCAGTAATTATTCTGCCTGCTCATATCTTTTGAGCTCCTCTGGTGAATTATTTCAATGATTGTACTTTTTAAGTCCAAAATTTTTCTTTGATCCTTTTTTGTCATTTCTTTTTCTTTACTGGTGCTGGGTTTTTATAAGAAATAATTTTTAAAATTCAGTTCTTCAGATAGGCTCTTCTTTAGATCTTTGGACATATTCATAATAGTGAATTTAAGGTTTTTGTTGTAAAAGAGCAATGCCTGGCTGATTCCTCAGTTTCTAGGGACAGTTTCTATTAACTGCTTTTTTTTCCTGTTCATAGGTTATACTTCTCTTGCTTGGTTTTTCTTTTTTCCATGTCTCATAATTTTATCTTGAAAACTGGATATTTTAGATAAGCCAGCGAAGCAGCTCTGGAAATCATGTTTCTCTTTTTGGCCCCTCTCATCCACCCACGATTAGTTATTGTTGCTGTTTCTTTAGTGACTTTCTTGGGCTAATTCTGTGAAGTCTTTATTCACTGTCATGTAGTTGTCAGCGTAGTCTCTACTGAGGTTAAGTGTCAGCTGATGGTGTAGACAGAGATTTTTCTTAAATACTTTCGAGTGCATAGATCTGATGTCCTCTTCCAGGGGACTGTCTGTGTATATGTGTATATTGGGCTCTCCTTTCAGAGCTTTAGCAGGCAATTAAAAACTGCCTTCATTTCCTTTTTGTTCAAGAGTCTCCCTGGGTCAGCTGGAGTGAGAGATAAAGCCTTTTAGGTTTTGCTTGGCTATGCACACAGACCTTTCTTTATATACATGCGTGGGAATCCTTCTAGAGTCTTAGATATACAGTATTTTGGAGATTTTCAAGACCATGTAGGGCCGTCTTGTTCCCAGGTTTTTCATTTTAAATTTGTTAGTGAGCCTCTCCTTAGCCCCTAGTGCTTTTAGCACCAGAGGCAACCGCAGCGTTGAATGATGCCGCTCATTTTTTCAACGTGCGCTCTAGAGCGATGGCTGCTTGTATAACGTGTGTATTGAGCCAGGCCAGGTAAAGCCAGGCCTGAGAACGGAGCCTTTCGTGGAGCTATCAGGCTGTCAAACAGATGTCTTTTGGGATGGAGCTTTAGGGTTCTGCAGACCTATTCTACAAAATCTATTTTTTTTTAAATCTTTTTTTAAAATTTATTTTAAAAATAAAAGAAGGAAAACATATTAACAGACAGACATCCATTTACAAAATAGCATAAGAACAATACAAACAAAACAGAGTTACCGACAAAGTTGTAGGAAATTAACAATGGTTGTTGTATTACATATTGATATCTTCAGAGTGGTTTCTCAGAAAAACGAATAGAGATATGCAAGATTGATCAAACAAGTAATCATTAACTGTTCCTTTCAGTAAAGCAATAGAAGACAGTAGTACAACTATGTTAGCTATCCTGTATACATATACATACAGACCTGTTCTACAAGATCTAGAGACTATTAGGCTCCTGATCTTCATTAGTTTTTAAGGCTATTTTAGAAGTCAAGAGAGAAATGGAGTAAGTTAAAAAATACCAAAAAGCTCAGTGTTCTTAGAGAAATTCATTCATTTTTCTTGAATAAATACTCATCAGATTCTTCCAAGCTGTGCTTAATTTTCAGAATTCTGAAACATTGTTTTTAGACTTTTTGCTAATGTTCTTGTTGCTTTCATGGGGGAACAGATTTTCCAAGATTGGTGGTTTGCTCTTCAGTACTTTTGAACTTCTTAGTGCTGTGGTTCATGGGTACTTGGTTTTACCACTAGGTGGAGGTAGAGACTTGGAAGCTTTGTTCATGTGTTACAAATTTTGTGTGTGAAGCATATAATAGCACTGTGCTTTGTCTATCAGATTGAGTTGCTGCTGATAACCTTACTGTTACTTTGTATTGAAATTTTTTCTGACAGTAATTAAGTTTAAATTTCTCATTACTTTAATTACAATTTTGGTTGGCATTTAGTTGATTTTCAAGTAAAATAATCATTCATAAAACAAAATTATAGAGTATTTGAAATGAATTAAAATGTAGATACTAATTATTTGACTAACAAATTAACTGTCAAAGATTCATAGGGGATTTCTTTGAAGAGAGAAGAATAATTGATAGCGTATTTATTATGAAATTTTAGGATATCAAAATTTTGTGTAAAATTTATTCCTAAGCAAACAAAAAAACTGTTCTTAAGTAGATTTTGAAATTTTATTTGTACTTGGAATACCTTTCATACTGCTTTCATAAATTAAGCAGTATGAAAATACAGTTTTCATACTGCTTAATTTATATCTACATTATTGTAAATTATGTATTTATATATTATTGGATTAAAGATGCTCTGTCTAGAAACCTAATGATTTATAAATATTTTTATTAGTATATGAAATTCCTTCTGGACGTTTCATGAGAGAATTGTGTGGTCACCTCAATATCATTTATGACCTTTCCTGGTCAAAAGATGATCGCTATATCCTTACTTCATCATCAGATGGCACTGCCAGGTTAGTGTCTCTATAATTGTATGCCTGCTGTGTATAGTTTCTTTGCTGTTAAAGAAATCTAAGCAAATATGAAGTGATATAAATACCCTTATGCTACAGTTATATTTTATCTATGATGAACACCGTAAACATATAGGCTAATTAAATAGTACTAAAACTTGTTTCTTGAAGGCATTTTTCTCAAGTAGCTCTTATTAATGCAACATAGTGTTTCTGATGCTTTCCACTTTTAAAAGATATTTTAAATTGTTTGATTAACACTTTGAGATGAGGTTATTAAACACTTGAGATTTTTCCTAGAACATAAACTCTTGATGGCAGGGATCCTGTCTTCACTATTGGCTAGATGTGGGGGTTGGAATGTAGTAGAACTCATGACATAAATGTAGAGGAAATAAATAGGTATATATTGTAAGTGTTACAGATGTTAAATATTTGCATTCTCACAGTATCATTTTGAAATTATATTGTTTCAACTTATGTCACAGTGAAACATTTTAAAAGCTGATTGCTAAAGTTCACTTACACTTTGTTTTAGCTTCTTGTCTTACTTTGCTTGTGTTCTAAAAATACTGAGACAGGTTTTCAATTTTTTTTTCATTTTAAGGAGAATTAAAGAACACTAGCAAAAGTGCCAACAACATGGGCAAAAACAAAATAAAGCAGTAACAAGAACAATATAGGGTTTCAGAACAAAATGATAGGAATTAACAGTGGTTGTTATATTACGTATTTTTATCTTCATCGAAGTTGGTCAGATTACCAGATGTAAGAATGCAAGATTAATCAAACTATTAAAGAAAATTAAAAATAAAAACAAAAAAATTATAAACGATACAGAGTTTCACCAAACAAGATGATAGGAATTCAGCGATTGTTACATTGCATATTGTTGCCTTCAAATTAGTTGTTTCAAAACATTTTTATATACTCTGTTTAACTTGTTTCTCACAGACATTTTCTGCAGTTTTTGTGATATGTAAGAGCCTTTTGAGAACCGAACCACATTACTATCATTTACATCTATTGCATCTTATTCTCTTATAATGTAATGTAACTTTTTGTTTCTGGGTCCCTTTTCCTAATCTCATTAATCTGCTTTTCTATATAAGGTGTCGAATTGATCAAGATATTATAAATGCTTAGTTTATATTTAAATGCAAAGGGTAACAATTGACTTTCATCTCTGTTGAATCAGGAAACTACTCTTAGTCCCCCTTACCAAAATCCTCAGGAGCTTACCTGGTTATTTCTTTTAGCACAGCCATCCTGTCTGACACCAGGTAATGCTAGAGAATAATACATAACTCCACTGAGGTGTGAGGATGGATTTGTAAGTCTTTGAATCACGTGCACTCTCATTCCTGCTGAGGAATCTTTTACTTACCTTTCTTCAGCTCCTTTTTCTCATTCATCTGGCAGCAGACACAAACTTTACCATTCTCCCATTTCTCTACACTAAGTCAGTCTTCCAACCTTTATTAGTTGGCTGCCTTTAGTTTGCAGTCAAATTTAGACAGACATGAGGTTCCTGTATTTCCCTCTAGTTTCCCTCCTACTGTCTATAACTGTGTTCATCTTTATCTCCACTGTGGTAAAATTACCTGTTCAAAACCCTCTTTCATAATGCTTTGTCTTTTAAAAGCATTTCAGTACGCATTGCCCATTGGAAAGTATTCCACTAGCTCAGCATGGCATAATAGCCATATCCCTCCCTCATTGATTAACCTTACATTCTTCTCATATACCCTTTCTTTGTGCCCTTTGCCTGACCTACACAATGTTTTGAAATACCCTTAACATCCTACCTTTGGCATCTGAGTGCCCTTTTACCTTACTTCCTCCTATACTTAGATGCTCCACTCCTCTCCTTCCTGCCTTATTCACCAGAAATTCATTAAGTACCTTTTGTGAGCTGCCCGTAATTGTCATGTAAATTTAGCTCACATTTGACCATTTCTTGAAGCTATCTTTGGTTTCCTCAAATAATAAATAGTATATTAAAGTGAAGTATGTTTTTCTATCCTTGAAAATTGGTATCAATTTGGATTCTCTGTATCATAAAAATATTGTGAAGTATTAACTCAATGAAAAGAGAAGCAGCATGGCTAAAATCAAAAAACAAGGAAGATTTTGAAAGAGATTTAAGAATGCTTATAATAAATAAACTCAAGTGAAAAAGAAAAAACAATTGTTCGCGCTCACAAGTGGAGAACTGAGGGTTTCTGCCCATGTCTACTCGTTGTTTTCCTGGGAATCACTGCCACGTTATTGTTGGTGTCTCTAAGCATTAATTTCCCACTGACTAGCTCTCTGCCATATGGTCTTGGCCTAAATCCCTTTAGTTATTTCCAGAATGAACTGTGTTGTTCTCAAATCAGCATCTTTTAATGCAATGGAAAAGACTTTCCATGTGTAATGGCTCTCTTACAGGCCCGTGTCCCCATGATGCCCACTCTGATACGTACTGTTTTAACTTTGGTATTTTTTTCTTGAAGTCTAATAATTTGTGTGTGTGTTCATCCAGTCTTTATGAATGTGTGTTTCCTCTTTCTCAGTGAGCAGCCTGATTTTCCTCCAAATCTGTTATTTCTTTTCAATCTTTCATTCTACCATTACCTGGGTAACAAAAGCCATCCTTGATAATAGTTTTTACACAAAAAGCTTCATTTTTATTTTTTAAATACTATGTGTATTCTAATGTATTGAGCTATTTTGAAGATGTGTTTGCCTCATTTCTGCTTGTTATATAGTATTTAAAATTATGATGCAAAGATTCATTAGTAAGCAGCTGAGGTTATCTTTTAATTATTGTAATACTCCCTTCAAATTAGCAGTTTTGTTCTTTTAGTAAGTATCCTACTTCATGTAGTATGCATTCATTGAAAATTTTACTGTGGAAAAAATGTTTTTTCAGGGATACACATGCTTTATTTTCACTTAAAAACATGATTTTTCCCTTCCTTCATTATTAGTTTGGATTCTTGATGCTATAATTAAAGACCATATCCTATATTTTAAGGAATTACTGAGAAAACTCCTAGAATATTATTCTTGAATAGCCGACTGTATTTTTCCCTTTATAATTTTGTAAATAACTTAATTTGATTTCTTAGTAATTAAAAAGATAAACATAAATCCTCATAACAAAAAATAATATATTCCTCTAATTCTAATAATTTAAGTCACTGTTCCATATTTATATAGCACCTGTGCATTGATAGATTTTAACTATTTTTGCACATTGCTAGAAATTTGAAATAGCTAGCAAGATAGTTCAACTCTTGGAGTTTACTCTTTGGTCTAGACTGTAGGAGTTATAATCTTAAAAAATTTTTTATAAATCAACCATTAGAGAAAAACATAATGAGAATGTTAAACAGAAAGGAAATGCTCAATTTAGAATAGTCTGTTTTCTATCAAAATGTTATTTTAATCTTATTTTACTCAAGATTTCAGATCGATTTCAATATGACTTTTAAGTCTTTGGAATAGTCATCTTTGTTATGTGAGCTTTAAAATTACAAATACAAAAGTTGATGAAGTATCCTGTTCTCTAAACACCAACTACTGGGACAGGGGATTTAGCTCAGTGGCACAGCGCCTGCCTGGCAAGCACGAGGTCATGAGTTCAATTCCCGGTACTGGAAAAAACAAAACAAAACAGAACAATAAACTCCTACTACTAAGCTGTTTGCAGAAGCAGTATACACAACCTAAGTGAGATGTCATTTATTTTCCCCCATATTTTTAAATATATATATATTACCAACTATTCAGTGTGTGTTTAATCAATGTCAAAAATAGGTAGATTTAAAAAGTAGATACCTAAATAAAAGTGTAATTTTTAGTTTTACAGAGCAGAATACAACTAATAGATATACACTTGATAATAGGAAGTGGCTTTGTCAAGATGTGAAGAATTGTAGCCATCAAATATGTGATCATCATCATAATTTTATTGTGATAAATACTGGTCCTTGCCATCTGTTGGATAAATTGGTTCTTATAAAAACGATTACATTTCTGCCTTTCAGGAGCAATGTGTAACTTTTTATCCTTTTCCAGGATATGGAAAAATGAAATAAATAATACAAATACTTTGAGAGTGTTGCCTCATCCTACTTTTGTTTATACGGCTAAATTCCATCCAGCTGTAAGAGAACTGGTGGTTACAGGATGCTATGATTCTGTGATACGGATATGGAAAGTTGATATGAGAGAAAGTTCTGCTGTACTGGTCCACCAATTTGATGCTCACAAGAGTTTTATCAATTCTCTGTGTTTTGATGCTGAAGGTATGTTAGAGGATATGTTCCAAAGGAAAGCTAGCTGCATGAAGAGTTCATTTTTTTTTTATTTCACTAATAGTTATCGAACCTTAAGAAGGATGTTATAAAATGGATTATTACTTATGCACATTTTGGTTTATTCTTACTTTGCAGGTCAAATGAGTTCACTGAGGGAGTTGTTTATAATTTTAAAGTTATTTAATTTCTAAACATTTAAATTCAGTTAATCTTTGCTCTAGCAATGTCAAGTATCAAATTTTATAAATGTATTCATTTAGATTAAATTATCTTCTTAGTAAGTTATTTTTAGGGATCTTTGAAATTAAAGAGTAGATTGAGGGAGACAAAAAAAATCCCCAAAGCAAGTTGCACATATATATGTGAAATGTAACAACAGAATTGTTTAAAAAGTGCACAGACATATAAAAGGAAAAATTGTAATTATTTAAAGGGTTCTCTTAGTATATAAGTAATATGGATATTTTTAAAATGTAAAATGTAGATTATTTGATTGGCTGAAAGAATAGAAATTTTATTGTATCTGTTAATCACTTTTTAAATTTCAGAAATTAGGCATTTAGGCTATAGCTATAAAAGAGGATCCAGATCAAAATGATAATGTTGCTGATGTACTCCATTCATCTATAGGGATGTTAATAAATTTAGAAAGGCCCTAAATAGAAAGGTATCTGCAAACTTATAATAGAAGTATCTCATGTTACAAAAGAAGGATAGTTTTTTAAATATTTGTCCATAAGATATCCAAGTATGAGAAAAGGGGCAATTGGCCTGTGTTGTTTCAGTAGATAGAGATGGGACCAAAGCTGCAGAGACAGATTTTTCTTTGCTCAGAATTAGAAGCAACTTTCTAACACATGGAGTGGCTTGCTAGTTAAATAAGCTGTTTTGTAAAATATTAAATTCACAGCTGCCCAGTAGCCATCTGCCAGTAATGGTGGAGAAGCTATTCCTGAGTGCCTGTGAAGTTGAACTTAATGGTCTCTGCAGTCCCATTCAACTTGAAGATAGTTTAACTCAGAATTGATGTTAAACTGCTAACACTGGTTACTTACTCTTTTATTCATTCCCTATCATTTATTGAGGTTTTCTGGCTCTCAAGTATTATATGAACAGTGTATTTTAGAATATAGGTATTTTCTGGGAATATAAGACAGAATATATAAATGGTGAAGATGAGGAATACAACGTATGCATGTTGCATAACTCAAGTAATTTAACTTTGGAATATGAGCCTTATGCACATGCACTAAGATACTCATTTCTTTTTGTATTCAAATTCAAGCAAGTGACAAAGGGACTATGTCGTCAAGAATAATTTGAAAGAGAAGTACTCATATAAAGATAATTAGGATTAGAATGTGAGTTATTTTGCTTTTTTGGATTTTTGAACTAAAAAAACTTTTTAATAGCCCTCCATTTCTTTGATTGTGTTCGTGGATTATGGTTCCCTCAACTCACTATTGTCTGTTTCTAATGTGTGATATTTCTAAGTGAGTAATTTTACTTTTTTAAATAGGTCATCACATGTATTCAGGAGACTGCACTGGGGTGATTATTGTGTGGAATACTTACGTCAGCGGTAATGATTTGCAGAACTCAGTATACCACTGGACAATCAATAAGGTATGAAATCGTATTTTATAGTTGGGGATTTAGTTAAGGAAATTAGAAAACAATCAAAACAGCTGACTTTAAGATGGGAAGTAAGGACATTCCATTCTGTCTTTTAAAAAAATTGTTTTTCTCAGTCCCTACAGAGTCATTTATATTTAATCAGTTATTACATTCTGCCTTATGGCTCATTTATGACAATTCAGTGAAGACTTTCATTTTGGCAAGTTCACTTTCAGTCCTTTAAAAACTTTATATTTTTTGGTTGTGTGTTTATCTGTGCACAGGTGTGTGCATCTATTGGAAAGCAAACCAGGGTCTTGCATAGCTAGGCAAGTACGTACTACTGAGGTATACCCCGCAAGGCCACTGTTAGTCTTTTGAGCCCCAATTTGTACTATGGCATTAGCTGAAGTTTATGATAAAGGCCGATATGTGTAATATCACATTACCATCTGTAAGTAACAACCTGTATTTTTTATTATATTCTTTTCTCGGTCCAGTATCATCTCTCCAAAAGCAGCATGCTCAGTGCTTGTCAGCAGTGCTATCTTTCATCAGTATATAATTATGTCCAGGGTCCCTGCAAGCAATTTTATTGGTGTATATTTTTTATTTTTTAGTTAAATATAGAATCATCAAACGAGTTTGTTTTATATAAATTAATTTAATTTCTGCCTACCACGTTATATGCTTGTTTTTGAGTTTTTCATACTAGCTTATGACAGTAGCTGTCCTCCTGTAAAAAAAAAGATACCCTAAGCTAGAAAGAATTTCCATGAACTTTAGTTAAATCTTTGTGTCTATGAGATCTATATTTAAAACTCTATTCTATTTTTAGTTATTCTTATCTGAGCTATCAAATTAATGACGTCTTGAGGTTTGTCATGTAGCCTAATTTCACACACTTTGAAAAGAACTTTCTAATTATTTACATACCGGAGGGACTGGCAAGTCTCCAAAGGTACCAATTTCAATCTTTTGAGTGTACAGTGCAGAGTTTATCATTTATTATAAAATGTTTTCCTTTTCTTAACCTTTATATACTGAGATACAAATTTATCTTGAAAATCCACATCTTAGTCATTACTTCAGACAGTCAAAAATAAATACTTAGGAAATGAGCTGGACTGTCTTTACAGCAGCAAATGTTTTGTGACAAATTGAAGGTTATATGCAGTCAACAGTGTGGGGAATGCTAAGTTACATTCATCTGTCCCTTAAGGGTTAAGTGCCCATGTGCTGTTGCATATACTCTTAACCAGCCATACATTATCTTCAAAACAAGGGCTTTTTTAGTTTGAACATGAATGTGCTAAAGAAAAATATGAGGAAATCACTATATAATACAAATACTAGATGTGCCAAGCTTTGTCAAGTTTATACCCCACACTTGTGCGGTTTTGTTTTGGATTTTGCATGTTTGCATCTGTTTCAGTTGATCAAATCCTCACCTGTGCCTCCCCACCTCAGATTTGCTATAGTTTAGCCACTAAAATCCCCATCCGTTGTGTCAGTGTTTCACTATTTTCTATGACTTTAAATCAGAAAAATCAGTCATTAGTAGCAGGGCTGAGTTGCTGATATAAGGAATACTTCATATAAGCTCATGTACCACCAGCCTGAATCTCTGCATTCCCCCTACTTACTAGCCCTGGTAACCTCTCAATGTACAGTTGATTTTTTTTACATACTTTTTAGATTCCACATATAAGTGAGATTGTGTGATATTTTACAGTACTTTTCTTTGACTTATTCCACTTAGTGTAATGTCCTTCACCCTTATCTGCATTATGGGAAATGGCAAAATGTTAATTCTTCTTTAGGGCTAAATAATACACGCGTGCGTGCCTGTATATATCATAGTTTATCTATTTATCTGTTCCTGTACATTTAGGTTGTTTCCATATCTTGGCTATTGAGAATAGTACTGTGGTGAGCATAGGAGTGCAGATATCTTTACAAGGTGGTGATTTTGTTTCCATTGGTATTTGCACGAGGGAGATTTCCTGGTCATATGGTAGTTGTATTTTTAATTTCTTTGGAAATCTCCATACTGTTCCACAATAGCTTTTCCATTCTGTGTTCCCAACAGCAAGGTAGAAGTTACCTGTTCTCCACATCTTTAACAACACTGGTTACCTTTTGACTTTTTGATTACTGTCCTAATAGGTGTAAAGTATAATCTCATAATGGTCATAATTTCCATTTCTCTGATGTTTACAAGATGTTGAGCATCTTTGCATATACTTGTTGATCATTTTTATATATTCTGTGGAGGTTTGTTTATTCATTTCTTTACCCATTTTTTACTCAGGTTATTTGCTTTTCCATTACTGAGTCCTATGAGTTCTTTATAAATTTTGGATAGTAGTCCCTTAAGAAACACATAGTTTATAAATAATTTTTCCCGGTATGTAAACTGCCATTTAATGTTGTTGTTTACTTTGCTGTGCAGAAAGCAGCTTTTCAGTTTGATTTAGTCTCATTTATTTATTTTTGCTTTTGTGGCCTGAACTTTTCTTGCAATACCCAAAGAAATCATTGCTAAGGTAAACAGGGCATGGTGGTGCACGCCTGTAATCCCAGCAATTGCGGGGGGGGAGGGGGGGAGGCGGGATGATTGCCATGAGTTCCAGGCCAGGCTGAACTGCATAGCAAGATCTTGTCTTAAAAAAAAGCCAAAGCCAGTATTGAGAAGCTTTTCCTTTATGTTCTCTTCAGGGAGTTTTATAGTCTCTAGCCTTAACACTTAGATCTTTTATCCATTAAGAGTGTATTTTAGTGTGTTGTAAGGTATAAAGGTAACTCTTCTTATGTATGGCTTATGCATGCTGGTTCTTGCTCAGTGTTTGTCTTTCCTGACATTATTAGTTGGATATCTTCTGTAGCTGCCTCAAATAGCCAACAGAACAAAAGAAAAAAGCCTAACCCAAATTATAATTTAAACTAAAGGGGTCCATAACATACCATACTTAAGACAAGAGGAAGTGTGTGAGAAAAGTCTGAGGCTGGATAGAACTTGCAAATTAATTCTACACTTAGTTTTTAAGTTTATAAAAATTGGAAGCTTTTTTTATGTGATACTGATGAAGTGTAGTGTTAGGAGATATGTATGAAGTGTTTATGGGGGCTGACTATATTTTGGGAAAGTAAATAACATACAAAAACACATACTAATTGCATGTGGTATTTCATAATATAAAAGTACAATTTTTCATCCTTAAACAAGTTTCTGGAAATCCTTTTGCTAACAGTTTTTAAGCATCCTGTATAATAGAATTGAAAATGACATCTTACAATTAATTTTATACTTTTAAAAAATTTATAGCATGAGACAAACTTTTCACTATTAGTATTTTGTGATTTTTCTTATCATTTTAGGAACTTAAAGAAGCTGAATTTAAGGGGATTCCAATAAGTTATTTGGAGGTCCATCCCAGTGGAAAACGTTTGTTAATCCATACCAAAGACAGTACTTTGAGAATAATGGACCTCCGAATGTAAGTATATGTTATTACTACAGAATAAGTACTCATAGAATAAATAATGAATGAATTTATATTGATAACATGCAACAGAGATTCTTACCTAGGCAATTTTGCCCTCTAGGAATATCTGGCAGTGTCTGGAGATGGTTTTGATGTTGTTTCTATTATCTGATGGGTAAAGGTCAGAGATACTAATAAGCATCCTAGAACTCATTGGAAAAGGCCCCCCAGAAGAAATTATCTGGTCTCAAATGTGCACAGCTCTAAGGCTGAAATGTAGTCAGCTGCTTTTTATTTTGTGGCCTGAGCTTTTGATGCAGTACCCAAAGAAATCATTGCTAAGGTAAAAAGAAATCATTGCCAATTATAAACAAAAACTTCTACCTTTTAGGTGAGGGACTACCTTTTAGCTCTATGATACTGGTGTAGCATAATATTATGATATAATAAGGACTGAAGGTGATGGCCTTCGATTAATTTATGTGTTTTTATTTTATTTCTAAATAAAGGTAAATATGGGGAAATATCTTTAATATAAAAAGCAGAGCAGAATTCTGAGAAAATGAACATGGACTTCTAATAGTGTTAAAGTTGCTATAAAACAAATGAGAGAGAGCTCTTTTATTAGATTTCCTTAATGTATTTAGAAAAGAAAATTCATAATTTATATTAATGTGATTCTGCAAGTACCTTCTTAGTACTGACCATTAAGCCCTTAATGTTCACATAGAACAGTCTAAGACCCTGGCATAGGGACAGTGGAAGAATGGTAGCAGGATTATCCCATGATCTAGTTGCACACCTCCAAAATAGCACTGGAAACATTTAGTTAGACTAAAATATAAGATCTTCAAGGATTGGCATCTGCTTATTCTTTTTTCTATATGTAGCATTTGTGTCATGCTTGTCAGACAGCAGGTGCTAGTATGTGTTTTTAATGAATATAAATATATAATAAAGAGATTATATTCTTTACAGCAACAATAATGCTGACTACTATAATATAATTGTTAAAGACTTTGTTGAGAGGCTGGCATTTGAGGTCAGCCTTGAAGAATGGGTAGAATGTAGAAAACAATTTTTCAGTAGAATGGATAACATGAAATCAAATTTAGGGGAAAGATAATATATGTTCAAGGCAGAGAAGTTAGTCCTGCTGTTAACTAGACTTGGAACAGTGAGAGGGAATTTTTAGAAATAGAAATTAGAACTAGAGTAGACCGTAAGGCTAAGGAGTTTTGTTTATTCCCTTTTTAGGCAAAGTGACACCCTGCTTTTTCCACCCCTGCTAGCTGATTAACCTCTCTGTGCCTATCTTTACTCATTTCTCAGACAGGAGAAGTTATATACCATACTCAGTGGTTTTGTGGAGGAATAAACTGTATAGCACACAGCAAGTTCTCTGGAAATGCTTGGCCCAGAAACGACAGATCTGGAAATTTGTGTTGAGAAATTAATTGTAAAACAATGCAGATATATAGATAACACACACAAAAATTGTACACAGAAATCGTGTTCATAGTAGGGGAATACTGGAATCATCTTAAGTTTTGTCCAGCAATAGAAAATTTCTTAAGATACTATTAAACAATAATACATATTCATTAAAGTGACAGTGTAGGATCTGTATTTTCTGCTATGGAGATGACTAATCATCTGTTCTTAAGTAAAAAGAACAGGTTGCAGAGCAATGTATCTAACTCTACTTGACTTCTAGTAAGTGTTGAATTTATTATTTATAAGTGAAAATATCTGCTTGTATGTCATACTTAATATATTATTTAATAATACTTTCTCTAGTATTTATCAAGTATTTCTTTATGATTTAAAAAATCCACTAGGTGGAAGAAGACATAGCATAAAAAGTCTACCTATGTTTTAGAAATCAATTCAGATGCCACCTTCATAAAGTAATCACTGTCTTCTTAACTAGAGTTAATCTGTCTTTCCTAAATCTGCAAATTACTGTTATTGTTGCTCTTTTGTGGTGCCTTCTGCATCCACATTCTATTTTTATGTTGATACATTTCTTCTGTTTCCTGCAAAATTCTAAACTCCCTGAGCACTGAGACCAGCTCTTTACTTTAGAACAATGCTATAAACCTACTGCACGCATGCGTGCCGCAGTGGGCTGTTTGTTATCATTGAAAACTCTAAAAGGTTAGCCATCTCTGCTGTAGAATGTCTACTACATCATTTGTATATTTATATTTGTATTTGTTTCTGTTGTTTATAGATTAACAGCAAGGAAATTTCTAGGTGCAGCAAATTATCGGGAGAAGATTCACAGTACTCTGACACCATGTGGGACTTACCTCTTTGCTGGAAGTGAAGATGGCAGAGTGTATGTTTGGAACCCAGAAACAGGTGGGTATTTAGTGACCTTCAGTGGAGGTCTCAAGAAGTGTAAAAACTGTCATTTTGTGGAATAATTTCAAGAAAATTCTGACTCCAAGTTTCTGATTGTTTTTTCAGGATAAAAACTCACCTATTGTCTAAACTTAAATTCTGTTCTGTATTGCTTTCACCATGCATTTAAAATTTCATATAATAATTCAGGGTTTATTCTCGCTTATGAGATGCTATTGCTCTTTGGAACTTAATGAAGATGTAATACAAAATACAAAATATTATAAGCTGAGTTGTAACTAGGTAGATAGTTAAATATTCACTACATGTGTTCTTTAATTAATAATAAAAACATTCTTGTGAAAGTTTTTGATGTCTGCAGCTTATTTAGCAATTACCTAAATTACTATAGTTCAGGTATTTTCAAATAAGCAATTACATCAAGTAGTTCACTTGTTCCTCTTTACTTTTCAAAAGAAAAATTAAAACTACATGAGCATTTTTAACAAGATTTTTTCCTGTACCATGCTTTACCATAGGTGCATTATATTGCATTATGTTGCTCTCTTCATTGTTTCTATTTTAAAGAAAAGAAAAATAAACAATAAAAACATAGTATAAAATTTCCAAACAAGATTGTAAGAGAGTAACACTAGTTAGTACATTGCATATTGTTATCTTCAAAGTGGTTGCTCATATTACAAGATATAGGTATGAAAAATTGATAAAGCAATGTAGACATAAACTTTTCTATACAATGAGCTGATAACAATTAGTAGCATAACTATCTTGTGTGTGTATATATATATTTATTTATGTATTTTTCCTTTTCCCAAATGCTCAAAAGGAAAGAGAAACTGGAATGGGGGAAAGGAGAAAAGAAGGAAGGGAAAAGGAAAAATAGCTCTATTCCTTTAATAAATAGATCTTTTTGCTTTTTGACTTCTTAGTGATTTTCCTAGACTCTACTGACTTCTGCTTTAGGCATCTTTGTACCATAATATGGATACCTTTCAAGTAATGGAACCTCAAACAGCCTGCATGGAAAAAATGATTACAAAACGCAGTCCCTACCAATACTTCTTTGTTCTTTTTTTTTTTTTTTTTTTGAGACAGGGTCTCACTATGCAGTTCAGGCTGGCCTTGAGCTTACTTTGTAGCCTACGCTGGCCTCGAACTTGTAGTGATCCTCCTGCCTCAGCCTCCCGTACAGGCGTTAGCCACCACACCCGGCTCTCAATCCTTCTTTAACTGGAGAATTTCTTCAGTTTGGAGATTTGTTAATTCCTCTACTTGTTTTCGCCAGAGTTCTTTGTTAATGATAATTTACTAGCTCTGTCAGATTGCATAGCCATATACCCGTGTACTTCCTTCTAAGCATGTTACTTTGTGCCTTGGTAGCCTTATTGAAGAGGTTGAATTGAGAAATACAAAAAAGAGGGCCAACAGAATGCAAAATAATGACTCTTATTTAATAAAGTGTACCCAAATACTTATATTTTGAGGTTTCATGCAAGTAATATAAGCTTCATTATTACTATACATATTTTCATAAGTGGCAGAATAATCATATAATGAGAAATACTTGATACAGTACAAATTATTGAATCTCTTTGTTTTTAGGGGAACAAGTAGCTATGTATTCTGACCTGCCATTCAAGTCACCCATTCGAGGCATTTCTTATCATCCTTTTGAAAATATGGCTGCATTTTGTGCATTTGGGCAGAATGAGCCAATTATTATTTATATTTATGACTTCAGTGGTAAGTGCTATGATTCATTTACATTTATTCTGCACCAGAAATCGTTAGCTGTATGAACTCTATCTTTTGAACCAACAGACTCTAACAACCAGAAAGATTTAATAGATTCTATTATAATGATAGTTTTTATTTTTCATGCAGTTAGTGTGGAATTTAAGTGTTGGCAGAAGTACACCTAATGATTGTGGTCTTAGGTTAAAATCACAGAATTACATTATCAGCCCATTTAAATGAATTAAATTTACCTAAAAATAATTTGAGATGATGTTAACTGAATTTAAAAGGTAAATAACTCATAGAACATGTGTTTCATGGTTTTAGTTGCATGTTGGATTAATATCTCCTATGCTTTTCTTTTCACTAAACTTTTTGTAAGTTCTGGTTGAAAGTTTTTAGTACAAAAACTAGGCAAAAAGAAGTAAGTATCAGTGAAACCAAGAGTCGAATTAGAAATCTGTGTGTTTTTCAGACTTAAAATGAAAATCATACTATCCTATAAGCAAAGCAAAACAGGATAATTTTTCAGGAATAAGATGGTGGGATACTAAGAATTATTTGAATTTGTTATTTTTCATGTATTTCTTTTAATTTTTGTCCTAAAATCAGGATTTCACAGTTCTATTTTACAATACTATGCTGTCTTCCTCAGAGTTGAAATTGTTTTCTTCATGTATTAATTTCTTATACTAAAAGTTCTTTATTTCTCTGATTTGTTTAGAATGCTATATATCATCATTTGCTATTTTTATAAGCTAGGATAACTTACATACTTGCATATTTATACAAATATACAAGTAAATATGTAGATAATATTTAATGTAGAACTATTTGGGCAAAGTGCTTTAATAACATATAAAAAGTTAAGTTTAAGTCAATATATATTGAATTGGTTAATGCTATTACAAGTGCTGTTATTAGACAATTTTTATAAACCTGAAATTTTTATCATAGAATGGGTCAATTCTAGGTGAATTATCTTCAAAAATAATACAAAACATCAAGATTTATCTTATTCTAAAGAACTTTATAAAGAAGATACATATGTAATTCATATTTAAATTTATAAAATACTACCATGAATGACAAAATTGTCAGGCAATAGCATATGATTTATATTACTACCACATGTTAACAGAAACTATGCAGTATGATAACAGGAAAAACTAAATGGATTTCCCAAATCAGTCCATGTCTAAACCTGACATCTAGTTCCAGAATGTACCCTGAAACAGTTCGTTGTATTCACTTCAAGTCTTTACATAAATGAAGAGTCATATATACTCTTACATAAGAAATAGGCAGCATAGTTATTTTCTCAGGCTCTTAAGAGGTTTCACAACAGTCTCCATTCAGTGTCTAATTTTTTTCTAGGCTTTTGAAATTTTCACTACTAATGCAAGTTAAAATCTGCTCTTTTTCTGTTCAAGCAGTTTATTTTTTGTCATTGACAGAAGGATTTTAGCATTAGATTAGCACAGTGTGGTTAGATTTGCCAATTTGGGTTTTAGACTGGAGATACCAAGTCTAAGTTCATTCCAGAAGTACAACAGAAAATTTGAAGTATTTCAGCAGTCCAATAACATAGGGCTTATGCTCTTGTTCTGTTACTTCAGTGACTTTTTTTTTTTGGTGGGTGTTGTCTTTTTTGAGATAGGGGCTCACTATGCAGCTCAGGCTGGCCTTGAACTCACTTATGTAGCCCAGGCTGGCCTCGAACTCTCAAAGATCCTCCTGCCTCAGCCTCCCAAGTGCTGGGATTACAGGCATGTGCCACCACACCCAGCCCTACTTCAGTGACTTTACATAAACTCTTGCCTTTTCTGAAGTTCCATTTCCAAATATATTTATTTATTTATTTGCCCTTTTTTTGCCTTTTTGAGACATGGTTCAAGCCCAAGTGGGCCTTGAACTCACAGTGATCCTCCTGCCTCAGCCTCCCGAGTTCTAGGATTACAGGTGTGTGCCACCACACAGGACCCCATTTCCTTATCTATTAAAAGATACTACTAGTATTAGTACTGGCCCTCCCTAAGAGGGTATTTGTGAGGATACTATGAGGTAGTCACAGTAAAAGTGCTCTGTAGACTGATAAACACTATATTAAAACAAAAGATAAAATGAGTTGTTATTATGGCACCATCAATATCCACTTGCCTTTATAGGAACTTACACTTTAATGTGCTGGTAACCATCTCATAACTGAAAAAGAACATCCCCTCCCTGCTGTATTCTATTGTTTAGCCTTTTTCTTTCGTTTATTAAAATACATGCCATTTCAGGCCATTTGTATTATAAAATAAGTGCATTAAGTTAAAAGCATGTTGTATTTATGTATTTTAATGTGAAGGAGAAATGGTCTCCATGAGCATTTTAGAAATTTAAATGTCTGTCATAATACATGAAATTAAAATGATTTTTGCAGTGAATTTAGAAAATAATTTTTATATACTAGTATACCTTTACCACCAAATTAAGACTCATAATGTTTCAGCACACTTTCCCTATTCTTTGCTGCCTATTTTTAAAAAGAGGAAGCTTAGAAAGAAGTTATAGTAACCTTAAACCATCCAAGAGTTAGCACAATTCTTGTGAATGTTATAGATTCATAAAAAATGAAGAGTTGTCTCAGACTCTGAAATATTTTACTCATTAAATACAGAGCAGAATCATTGAAAATTATTTTTAATTGAATCATCATATTATATCTTTGTCTTACATTTTATTTTTTAATGCAGAAATATTTTGCTTAAAAAATCTTGTCTAAAAATAAAGCTTATGTGTGGATTTACACGAAATTTTATTGGTATAAAATTCAAAAGACACAAAACAGTTGTGGTTCTGATCATTTTCAGGGAAAAAGGAGCAAAGCTCATTTTTTTTGTAAGTTAAGTTGCGAATGAGACCACAGTGGTAGCTAAATGTATCATCCATCTTTCAGTTCTAGCAAAATCTGTAAAGAGCCAGCAAGCATCTTTCTCTGTTAAGCATATGTTCAGGTTGTGGTCTCTTGAGTCTTTCATTCTACTGGCTTTTTGCTTTTTTTGGTAAGAAATATGATTTCTACTTTCAGAAGGCAGTTTTATTTGCCTGGTGTTGAAAGGGTTAATCATCTAGTAATACAAAATTTAGTCACAGACTACCACAAATAATGTACTTTTAGGATTCCCATAATAACAAAGTACTAGTTGAAGAAACTGCTACTGAATCAATTTTATGAAGCCAGACTTTAACAATTAATGTTAGATATTAATACTGTCTACTTGAGTCTGTAGGATGCTATTCTACATTTATAAATAATTACAGCACCTTCTGTGTTCTTGGTAGTATATGAAGCACTTCATATACATTATTCGAGTTTTCACAGTAATTTTATGACACAGATGCTGTTATTACCCCTATGTAACTGGAGTCAGTGCTTAAATCTTGAAATCTGTGCCTTTGTTTGATACACTAAACTGCATTATTAGCAGTTGAGTGTATCAAATTAACATTTAAAATGTTAGTTTTTCAGGGATTAGTAATCAAACTTTCTTTTGCAGTACTGGAAACTAAATCCAGGGCATTCAGACTGAGCTACATCCTCAGCCTTTCTTTCATTTTTTACTTTAAGATAGGATCTTGCGAAGTCAGAAAATGGCCCAGACTAGGCTCAAATTTGTGATCCTCCTACCTCATCCTTCCAGAGTGGTGGATCACAGGTATGCACCACTATGCCCAGTGTCTTTGTATTTTTATACTTTATAGGAAGCAAAGATGGAAACTTGTCCATTTTTTATTACCAATACCTAACCTGAATATTGATATATAGTAAATGTACATATAGTATTTTAAGTATGGTCAAATTTTACTTTGGGAAATTCTTAGCATTTTGATAATACCAGGTAATGAGCCTATTTTCTCAGTAGGTGGCATTGTCTCCTCTGAACTAGTGTTAGCTCAGTTACTTTTCATATTGTCTTAGGCAAAACAAATCTTTATTGAGCACTTGTTGTATACCAAGACCTCGGTTATGAAACCCAGGAATCAGACTCAGCAAACTATCTTCTTTCTAACCCTTTGCGCTAAGTAATTGACTAAACCTCTAGAAGAATTTTAGCCAAAATTAAAAGGTAATTTCTGCCACTGGCATGATTTTATTAATAGAATTTGTGTTGTCTAACGGCCACCTACATTGTCACTGTAGCTTCTTTTCCTACTCTGTGGCACATTTGACCAGAGTTCAGGGTAACCTTAATATGCCTATAAAGTTTATTATATAATTTTCTCATTGACTGTGGTATTTATAACGTCCTATGCTTAAGATAGTATCTCTCATATATTACCAATACATAATGAATGTTTGCACCACAGACCATGAAACTGCAGCACAGGGAAAATGAAGTAATTCGCCTAAGGTGACACAGTTGATAGTAAAGCTATTTGATTCCAGGCTGATTTTAAAACCCATGCTCTTAATGTATAAAGCTGTTTGCCACAACTGTTTAGTCTGCATTACATATATCATGAAGTAAATTAAGACAGTAGCTAAAGGGCTGCATATATATATATATATATATATATATATATATATATGGCTTAGTGGTGGAGTGCGTCCTTATCATGCACAAGATCCTGGGCTCGATCACCAGCACCAAAAAAGACAAAAATAAATAAATAAATAAAATTTAGGCAGCTAAACATTCTAATAGTGAATTGTGTTATTTTCAGTCTCATACTTAGGAAAATCTCTTAAGACTAAAAGAAGTTCGTTTATTTTGTAAAATTTTGGGACAAACATTATCAGGGTATACTAAGTCATCATATTCTCAATATAGTGCAAAATAAGAATTTTCTTTAGTACATAGCATCAACTTTTAATGCAGCTTCTTTTATAATATTTTTTTGCATTATAACTAACCAAATTAAATTTAACATCCATAGTTTTATGTATAAGTTAATCTTGTAATGCTGATGATGAATCATTAAAAAGCAAACTCATATTGTAATTCTCATAAGTATGC